TGTTGGGGGCTGTTGGTGCAGGAACAATTGGCCTTGGGTTTCGTTGCAAACCCAACGTGGCAAAGAGCCAGCAATTGGATCAGACGACGCAAGAGAGCCATGGTAGGCTTTGTGGAAGTTGAGCAACGCCTTGGGGTCAATCAATCCACAACAGGATGAGACGCATAGCCGTAGAGATATGTGGCAAGTATTAGCTAGAACGTATAATCCATTTATGTGTATAAACCCTCTACAGATGAGACTTGGAGGACATGTTGGACTCGGCCGCCATCACTTCAGGGTATCGGAGACCATCCCTTCAACCCCAGTCACCGGGTTCCGAGGCACCGGGCTCCGGGTATGGCTCGGCGTCGGCAACAGTCAGCCTCGAATGTTTGCATCAGAAGCCAAGTTATGCTGAGATTGGGGATTAGAATTCGCCAAGACTCTAGCTGGCAAAGAAGTTTTATCACGACTCGGGGTAGGAGGCTGTCATGTAAGACACTGGATTACCAGAAGCCAATCGGCATGAACCGTCAGATATGCATTCTAGAACAACGGAGCTCATGTTTCGATGCATGAACGTGCAGTCATCTGTTTTTCTATTCAATAACGTTTCAGAATTGCTATATCGGGGACTCGCACACCGCTGCTATGCTGTGTCTACGCAGTACTCGTTTAATTTTAATAGCGAAACCGGCCCTATTAGAAATCTGGCTGGCGATATCATGTCAAGCCTTTATGTGATTATCCGTCATGCTGCCACCATTTATATTTCAATTCTATCCCAAATCTAATATGGTAAGCTAAAGTTTTCATTCCAAGATTCGTCATTTAGATTTGTCCATTTGCACATAGTTCGTAATGTTAACCGTGTAGGCGACAACTTGCCCGCGGAATATAACATTGCCAACATACAGCACTACAAGTGTTTAAGGCTCCGAGGGCCTAACTACACGAGTTGAGTGTCTCTCTGAAATTAATGCAGTGCAAAGCGTTGATGGAATTTCCGAGTCATACGACATCCCTAGACCAGCTCCGTCGGGGGCCAGCAGCCAGGGCCAAGGCCAAAACCATGACCGGGCCTAGTCGGGATCCGAAAAGCTTCCTTCCGAAATTGCCAAATTACTTGGCAAAGGAACGCACTAGGGTACCAAAGCCCGATTACTCTGCCCCTTTGCAAGACACTATACTCGTGGCTGAGCTAGAATATTAGGTCGACTGTCACCGGTTTCGGCGTAGAAGGCCATGGACTATATAACTAAACAACACTGAAACCAAATATATGAGAATCCGGTCCACCAACGAGGACCAAATAATCAACAAATATCACTTTATTGACGCAAAGAAATTGAGTTTCAGTGCAACACCTGATGGGCCACTTCCCCTGGCTTCGTGCCGTGCTCGGCGCGGCGGTTGCGAGTTTGGCCGTGGCCTCGAACGATGGCATTGACGACACCAGCGCCGACTATCTGATTATAGGCGGCGGTCCTGCAGGCCTGGTACTCGCCGAAAAACTCTCTCGAAACCCCCGAAAGCACATTGTCCTCCTCGAGGCTGGGCCGGACAGCATAAACGATTCATTGGTCAATAGTAGGTGCTGCTACTTCCACCAGACACTATTCGCCCACGCACTCCCTAACCGTCAATCTTCTAGCACCTGCTCACTATCCCCTTATCAAGGAGCAGCATTGGAACTTCACAACTGAGCCCGACTCTAATTTGGGAGGACATGCGCCTGGCATTGCACAAGGTCGAACCCTCGGAGGTGGCTCCGCGGTGAACGGAATGGCCTACTGCAGAGGAGCCTCGTCACTGTTCGATGAATGGGCACAGCTTTCTGGCAATCCGGGGCTGGCCTGGAAGTCAATGTTGCAGGAGTTCAGAGAGGTGAGCCACTACCAAGACCCTCCCCACGCCGAGTACGAACAATATGTGAACATCTCGGGGTACGGCAATGGCCCGCTGGAAGTGAGCCGTTCAAGCGGTTTGACCGGCTTCGAATTCCCATTTAAAAACGCCATCCAGGGCCAACTTGGCCTTGACGAGGCTGACCTGACGGATGGGACTGGCATCGGCATTGACATGGGGGTTGCCACCATCTTTGCCAAGAACCGCACCAGATCATACCCTCGAAATACATTTGGGCTCATTGCCGAGAGAAGGCCAAACGTGCGAATAATACATGACGCCTGGGTGTCCAAGGTCGACTTCAAGGGCCAAACTGCGGTTGGCGCAACCTACCGTTTCAACGGCAAAGATGTCAAGATTAAAGCCAGGGAAGTTATAGTCAGCGGCGGGGCCATCAACACCCCCAAACTCCTTATGCTTTCTGGGGTTGGACCAAAAGATGTGCTCTCAAAATGGGGCATTCCCGTTGTCGCCGAGAGCCCTGAGGTGGGCGCGAATCTCAGAGACCACCCGGTTTCTATTGTGGAACTTCGCGTCACCCCGGAAGTACTCACACTCTGGCAATGGGCGTTTAACGAAACCGAGGCGGAGATAGCAAAAAAACAGTATGCTGCCAACGCTTCGGGCCCGTTGGGGTGGAACAACGGACTCGTTTTTGCCACATTTCGTGTTCCCGACTCAGTCTGGGATGGCATCGACGGCTCGCATTTCCGCTCCTTGCCGCAGGATCGCCCACACGTCATGATAGAGTTCAGCACTGTGCCGTTTATACCTTCGCCAAATGCGAGCACAATCACGGCCTGGGCGAGCCTCGTGCAGCCCGAGGCGTCTGGCCGGGTCAGCCTCAGGTCGGCAAACTATCAGGACGACCCGCTGATATACACCAACTACTACGGCTCCGTCGCCGATAAAGCGGCCATCTTGTGGACATACAAGAAGCTTCGCGAGATATTGCAGCGTCCGGAAGTAAGTCCGCTCATTGAATCGGAGCATTATCCAGGACCGGGTGTGACTACAGACGAAGCTATATGGGCGGCAATGGGGAATCAGACATACTCGTTCCGTCATCCCGTGGGTACTGTTGCCATTGGAAAGGTGCTGGATAAAAACTGGAGAGTCAAGGGCCTGAAAGGTATCAGAGTCGTTGACTCGAGTACATTTCCCTATCCGACGACCTGCCACCCCCAAGCGGTGGTGTATGCACTGGCAAGCAGGGCGGCGAAAGATATCCTTGAGGCCGATTGCAGAAGGTAGTGTCCATATTTTATGATCGTTGTACCTCGGTGGAAAAAATATGTGTGCCATCAAGTACATCATCTTAGCAGCAATCCCATGTGCAGCGGTAGTATAGACAGATAGTGCAAGATACGCGTATCTCGATAATATTGATTCCTCGAAACATCTGGGAACCCAGATTGACGCCCACCCCCCCAATGAGATTTTCAACGATAGTACTATCTTGTTCTCCCAAAGGCGATTTGGCGCCAAAGACGCCCCTTCCCGCCACAGACATTGTACTTTACAGCTGAAAGGCAAGGGTAGAGCAATACCTTTGCCTTGATTTAGTAGGATCAAATCAATGTAATCCCCCTCCACCGTCGGACCGAACAAGCGCGCTGCAGTGATTTACCCCGAATACCATGATGCAGCGCAAGACAAGAGAAACAGCCAGCCAATAAGGTACTTGCGGAATGATTGAGGACTATACGAGGGTGGAATAAGCACGGCATAATATTCCTTAGCGTCCAAGCTGGGTATTTCACAGCCGCAGTATAGTGGCAATGCTTATCTATTGTCGTCTGGTGTCAAGATTGGTCCAGAAACAAGAAAGCCGGAGCTGCGTATGACCGACATTTAAAGATTGTCGCTGGAGCGGTTTAAATCACCGCTACTGTTGTACAACACACAGGAGGCGGTAGGAAGCATATCGCGGAGCGTCACATGCATAAAATTATAAACCGAGACTGACGGCAGCGACTAGCAGCACATAGTCTTACATGTGCTTACAGAAACAGAAGACTATCTGCAGCGGCGTTCCGAGTTATCCCCGGAGCAGGGGTTATTTCCTGCACCCAGCCTGCTCATGCTTTAACAGTAAGTACAAAGTATCAAGGTTATACTTTGAGCCAAATGACTCAAGTCCCACCATCCGACCCCAAGATTGGACGAGCCGCAAAGTTGCAACGATTCAAACTAGTTGCAACGAGAGCAAGACGTCTCGTTGGTGGAATGAACTCTACTCAGAACTAGCCCTTCAACTTGCAACTCAGCCGCGGAGGTAAACTTCAGTCAGGCATGTCCGTGCAGCCAGCCCTTGCCTAAATTCCCATCAAAATCCTGCCATGGACAACTGCGGGGGTTACATCGTGAAATGCCAAGAGTAAGCAAATTGTGGAGCGCGAAACCGCAAGTACGGAGCGGTCCATCGGCTATCAAGTCGGCAAAACCTATTGATACAAAATAGCAAGATAAAGTTGGACTTTAGCGTCTATTCCTGAAACCAACTAATTCCTCGTCGAGATTGGGCGCCCACTGCTATAGCTACATGTGCATGCTTCCGTACTTGGAGCATCTTGAAATCTCGAAATGCGTCAATGGCAAAACCATCATGATGCATCAGCCGTGAGCACCCCAGCAACCATCTCGGGCGACACTCGGGAGGCACCCCTGCATTTTTCCAGCCTGGCGATTCCACCAAGGCAACAAAGTTTACACGCACAGCAGGCAGGCAATGTTTTTGACTTGATCCGCGTTTCGGCTCAGTCGACTTCCGTGCCCAATTATATCAGAGAGATTACCAAACGTTTTCGCCCCCTACCGGGATCCTCCTACATGTTAAACCCGGTTATGCGGATTAGAGTTATCAACTTACTAGAAGGGTGTAAAGTAGCCGACGGATGATGAGTGCTATTGTAACCATGATGAATCGCGGGGCGATGGTTCATCTTTAGATGCGTCGAGTTTAATTGTATCCGAATCGTCTACCAGACTACTTTGCTAGCCTATTGCTATTGCTCTTACCCCCTGTCTCATTAGACTTTCGCCTTGACCCTATACTTTAATTATGGTAACATTGAATCAGTCATTTGAGATGTACATGATTGTGGGTACTATGAATGCCGTAAAATATCTACAACACAAGATGATACAGCCCGCACTCGTCTGCGAAGATCCACCTCTAGTTGGTCAAGAAGAGCAGCAGAAAAGGGCAGTGTCGCACCGTCGCCACCGCTTGCCTCTCGCCTGTCCCTCGCAAGTGAATTGTTTGATGCCACGTCTAGTGCCCCCTGGTGATTCCGCGCCTTGAGCCGCTGCGATATGGTGTTGATGAGTCCCTGCACTCGATAGAGTTTGCCGAGAACAGACTGCGCCGCCAGCCTGCTCTGGTGGCTGCCGTCATCAAGACCGCCCGCCTTGCTGATGCTGTCCACCGGGTCGGCTCTCCCGGGTGGTTGTCGGGCCGCGTTCTCGTACCAGGCCAGCGCCTTGAACACAATGAGCGACATGAGGGCGAGTAGATAGCCGTCCTGGGCGCAGGGACACTGCAGCATGGTGTCGATGGACTCGATGGCATGCTCACTGTCTGCGAAGGAGCCGTTGAGGGGGCAGGGCGAGGGTCGACTGCTTCTGGAAGCTCCTGCTTGGCCTCCGGTCGGAGAACTGGAGCCAGAAGCCGCAGTGGTAGAAGTCTGGAAAAGTTGGCTCAAGAGCGCGAGAGTTTGGTTGAGGCAGTCGCACGAGGACCCTTGAAGCGTCGCCTTCAACTCTTGTTGTCCTTGTTGCTGCTGCCAACTTGCCGCTGACTGCGGCATGGAGAGCGAAGCCTGCGGTCCAAGGTGGTTGGGGGATACTTGTAATGCGTCATCAAGAAGCGAAGTCGACTTGTCGGGCACCTCGGTCCAGAGAGTTGTCGGATCGAGCGAGTAACTCAGATCCCACGATCCGAGGTAGTCCTCTGGGTGACTGCAGGCGTCTGGCCCTCCCGAGACGCATATATCTATAGGCGAGGCAAAGCAGTCGTCGAAATTCATGTCCGTGGCGGCGGGAGTTGGCTCGCTCAAGAGTGGCGTTTCGGCCGAGGCAATGGGACTTGGTATAGAATCAGCATAGTTGCCATGATACTGATCCAGGAATACTTGAATTGTGCCTGATGCCGGAGTGGTGCCTTTGGACGGCTGCATCAAGGTTGGCGACGGCGTGGGGAGAGATGGTACCGTGCTTGGCCGAGTTGTCGATTTTCTCGCATGTTTTCTCCCGGCCCGTCGTGTAGCAAAATACTCGCATACCTTGCCTCTCTTGGCGCACCGTGAACACGTCGGTTTCTCCTTGGAACATCGGAGCTTCGATGAGGCACAAGCGTGACAGCTATCTCTGAGTTTGACTGCCATTGCTATAGTCGCTGTCGTCATTGTCGACGTTGCCGCGGTGGAGGAAACGATATTGCTCGATCCTCCTGCTCGGGACGACTGCAACGTCGCCATGTGGGAAGTATGCAGATTTGACAAGGATGGAGTAGAAAGTTAAAGAAGGTAGAAGAGCTGCACCGCGCGGTGTGACGTGAGCTTAGTCCTCCACGCCTGATAATAGTAGATATATTTGCATTGCACCTTGTTTGGCTGACACGAACTGACCCAACGACATGGCCATTCTTGTCACGCCTGCAGCGCCGCACACAAACTTGGAAGCCTACATGCCTGGATACGAATCCATCGGTATGTTCCATCGCCTCCGTGTCATCAACAGCGACAGCATGCACCCGTTGTCCCGTTCTCATTCGTCCCAACCGGCCAGACATTATGGCAGAGCGGGGAAACGGGGGCGCAACGGCGGACCAGGACATGTCCAGATACCCCAAGCTTATCGCCCGGAAACGCAGGACGGCGCAATCCATATCCGTGCTGACCTTGCAGTTCCTGAATCTATCGTGGCGTCCGCCTGGTGTTGCTAGCGCAGCCTCGTTTCCCCGGCCCCTACGCATGTCGAGCCCGATAGGAACAAGACCGGGCTCCTGAATGTTGGTTTGTCGACTCTGCGCCACACCCGCGTTGCCTTTGGCAAAGAACTATGTGGCAACATTGAATGTACCTCACTCACAAGCGACGGATACGACACAAGCGTGGGGCGCCGTACCAAAGTGAAGGCATCTGATCCGCCCGGTTGCTACCGAGTGTGGTGAGCGCCGTCGAGTCAAACAACAAGGGTTTCGAAATCGATCGAGCCACGTCGGCCTGGCTGGAATGAATCTGACGGCTTGCGTCATTTTCGAGCCTTGTTGGCTCTGGATGGTGGTAATAGACGTGATGATGCTCGCAGTTGCCGCGGAACCATGTGTACGTGATGGTTGACTGAGCCTCACATGAAATCGCAATGCATACGGAGTATTCGAGCACAAGATCCATGACGGGGGGCCATCATGATGGCGCTTGCCGTTGTCAGCCGCTCAGGGATGTGGCCGGGATCTAGAAGCCTGCTCAACCCTCGATATCTCCTCCTGCCCTGTTTCTGGAAGCACATGCGCTGAAGGTCGGTTCAACGGAATATTGCAGTAAGACTGTCAGGGAAGCCTCTGAGAGTAATAGCCCGACTCTGCGGATTAGTCCACCAACGAGCATCAAGAGCGAATGCCTTGTGTCTGCGTAGTGAGTTTATACCATACCAGGATAGAAAGCCACACTCCGAAAATTATGTAAGTACGGCCCAAATCTTTACGCCGTCGAACAAGGGGATGCTTTATTGCCTTTATGCAAAACTTTACGACGGTGTCTTCTAGGATGGTGCGGGTTTCAGTGCCACGATCCCAACCAACTTGAGCCATATTCACTTTCAAAGTTCGGCACCGTCAAGCTGCGGGCAACTCCTAAGACTCACATGCTGTAGTTTAGGCTTCAACTGAATAGCAGTATCGTCATGCTGCCTCGCTGCCATGGACAGTATCGCCAACCTAGTTTCCTGCGCCGCTGCCACCACAGCCGATGTCGAAGCTCTTGTCGCCATGTGTCGAGTGCAGTGCCCAAGTGACGCGGACGAGTCAATCAAGATCAATACAATCCTTCAAGATGGGCCAGCCGAATTACAAAAGCTCAAAAAGTCCATGATGGCTAATGTTGCAAATCTTCAACAACTCATCATGGGGCCGTCGGAGCTGCTACAACAGCTCGCCTGTCAGGTATGCTTTGCCCCAGCCGCTCAATGCTAAACTCCTGCTCTCTCCCATTAGACTGCACAGGTGTTCAGAACGTCAACTAAAGTATGCTTCCCCAAGTCCCAACTATTGGCTTGCCTACACTGGCTGGGGGATTTTCAAGTCTTGGCTTGTATCCCCCTTCGTCACAGCGTGCCGATCAAAGATATCTCCGACTTGGCAGGCGTGCCGGAAGCTCAACTCTGTCGAATAGCGCGTATGACAATGGCCTTTGGGTTTTTATGCGAGCCGCAACCAGGACGTCTATCGCATAATGCCTTGTCCGCCGCCTTTGTCACCAATCCTTCTCTGCTCGACGCCGTCATGTTTCTTGCTGGCACAGCGACCCCGTCCGCGTTGAAAATGGCTGCCAATACGCAACGGCTCAACTACTCCAGCACTCCGCAGGCGACTGCGTATAACCTTGCTAGCAATCATGCGAGCTCATTTAGCACCGAGTGCGAACAACGACCCCAGCTGAGGCGACAATGGTCTGCTTTCCGGCGCTACGGAACCGGCGATGTGGACGATGACCTGGTGGAAATGCTTCAGTCATTGCAATGTGCCAACCAATTTGTTGGTAAACCAGGTACCGTTGTGGAGGTGAGCGTCCGCCTGTCATCGGGCCATACAGCATATCTGTCCCTTGGCTGACGTCGAATACGCCTTCTCAGATTGGGGCCGAGTCAACGGCGCAAGCAATGGCTCTGGCAAGTCACTATCCTTGCCTAAAGATTATAGTGCAGATGGGTGAGTTGGAAGCTCAATGGCAAAATTCCGGGGGGAAGAACATATCCTACGATTCTATGCTAGACCAACCAGGGTGTATAGTAGACGGACGGGTGACTATTCAGCGTCGCCCTATGGGTACCACACAGACCATTCGTGATGCCACAGTGTATATCCTTCATCTCACTTCATGCACAGGTGTTACAGAGGGTGTTCGGGCCGAGCTGAAACAACTGGTGGAAGTTTTGAAAAATAACAGGTCCGGGAGAATCGTTCTTACGTCGGGGTTACTTCCCGAACTTGGAGCAATACGCCGTAGCGTAGAGGCCCTCGCTCGGCTAAGGGACTTGACAATGTTTCAACTCGCGAATCAAAGGGAGTTGGAGATGGCTGAGATGATGAGCATTCTGAATAGTGTGGGGGATAACACGGGCCGTCTAATCGTGGAAAATAAGTACTGCTCGCCTACCAGTGGAGCCTCTGCTCTGGAGATTCGGTATCATGAATATGCCACTGGATAGGTTGGTAGATTTGATGACGAGTGAGCACTGGGTCAAGTCCCCCTCGGGCCATACAAGTAGCAAAGTAGCAGCTTAGGGACCTGGTTGTAGAAGTATTCTCTCCAACGTAATATTCACGCGTCTAACAATGGAATCATTTGACATATATATAGCAAGTGTCATGTACGCATGGAGCCAACAGCATGCAGCTTGACGGTTCTGGGGCTGTGGCCGTGTAGCCCGAGAATCGGACTCCGATCAGCAGCCCTTGCCCCGAAAGAACCAGACAAGGCGGCAAGATTCTTCAGAGGAAGCAAAACGGTCAGAACCCAAAAAGATTATGTCAGTATTCATTAGTACGGCCTTGGAGATGCTCTTGTGTTCTGAGCTTAGCTCTGATAGTCTTGTTACAGTTTCGGCAAATCCAACACAAAGTAACTTCATACAACGGAAGCAGGTCAGAGAGCATGGCCGAGATTGACGGTGGCCCCCTCATTAATACGACATCTTTGCTTGGGCATCTCGAACAAGGCCTGGAGAAAAGCTACTATAAACCAGGAATAATATCAACACACCAGCCTGCAAACCACCTGTCAGATCTCCTCGCCCTAGCCAAGAGCCACGACGACGGGGAGCGTGGGGGTGCATATACCCATACAAAGACGAGTACTATCTATGACGGAGAAAATGGATACAACTACTTGACGCTCACCTATCACCAAATTCACTCCATTGCAAAATGTCTCGCGGCGGGGCTTCTTGCCAACGGAGTGCAACCCAAATCCACCATTCTGATGCTTATACCGAACGGCGCAGAATTCGGCTTGCTTCTATGGACTTCGGTTATGACAAGATTGACGATTTCATGCGCGGACCCGGACGTCCTTGCTGCCACGGGGCCTGATGAGCTGCCACATTTGCTTCGGACCCTTGAACCATCCATAATTGTGGCACAAGACACACGAACCGTGCTCGAGATGGACCGGCTTGTTGACGACTTTCCGACTGTGAGGCCTCTCTGCATTCATGTGGATCGTTCAGCCAAGAAGCCAGGCTGGATAACCCTGTCAGAAATCATGGAGCAAGGCAACCGGTCAGCGATAAACCAAGACCAAATAATCGAAGCGGCTCGTAATGATGATCCAGAGCGCATTCATTCAGTTCTCTTCACGTCAGGGTCGTCTGGCCGTCCAAAGGGTTGTCCCATGCGGGTGGGAGGGCAAACTCACTACATGCTTTCGCAATCATGGCTTGTTGATGAAAGGGCCTGCCCACTGGCTCTACAGCAAGCTCATCCGTCTCGGGCCATTGCTCATCTGCAGATCCTCCTGACCTGGAGGGCCGGTGGCACGGCCGTCTTGACGGGACGTGGCTTCTGTGTGAGCGACATTTTCGAAGCAATTCGACGGCTCCCAATCACTTTCGTGGTCCTCTCTCCGCCCATGGTACACGAGATTAGCAAAGAGGTTGCGAATGCTTCGTTGAATACAGACTCGGTTCAAACAGTGCAAGTTGGCGGTGATGCCGTAACCGCCGGCATCTTGGCCAAATGTGCAACTGTATTTCGAGGCGCAAAGGTTGTTGTAGCTCATGGCATGACAGAAGGAGGGGGATCATTTCGCTGGCCGTTTGAACATACGCCGATGAGACAAATTCCACATTTCGGCGGTCTTTGTCCGGTAGGCGTAGTGTCTCCGGGGTCAGTAGTTCGCATATGGAATTCTGCGGAAGGGAGGGTGTGTAAGCGCGGCGAGTCTGGAGCTCTGCACATACGGAGCGGAAGTCAAATACGAAATTACATGTCTGGCGCCTCTGAGACTTCTTTTTACGAAGATGGGCAGGGCCGCTGGTTTCGCACCGGTGATGTCGCCGTCATGGATCCCAAGGGACTCGTATATATCCTGGGCAGAGAGAAGGACATGATTAATCGCGACGGAGTGGCCATAATGCCAGCGCCACTGCAGAACTGCATAGAAATACTTACCGGAGAGCAGGTGAGCGCAAATCTGTTCCCATTCACTTCTACCCCTATAGTGAGCCAAGTCGGCTAATTCCTGCAGGCTGTCGCTGTCAGCGTAACGAGTGAATCCCAGGGCGAGCAACTATTTGCTGTCCTGCGTTCTTTGGCTTCCAATTCTCCTGGAGATATTAATCGACACATTGAAAAAATGCTCGGCAAGCAGTATGTACTGGATGGCTTGCTGACCTTGGAACAGTTGGGACTAGCCGCGTTCCCGGTGAATGCTACACATAAGATAATGAAATCGGAGATACAAACCGCACTGCTAAAATATCTTCAATCTCACAGGGACTCAAACATGACTGCAGGTACGGTGAACTAGTTGGGAAAGAATTTATTTCATGGACCATGGACTCATTGAACAGCTGTGCCAGCAATGGAGTTTTAATATTTTCCCATCCCTGCATAGTCGACAAAGTGGCGTCCTTGGCGAGAGATGTGGTGGACGTATTTTTCTGATAATGTACTTTGTAAAAGACTCGTATAGTTTCAAGGTAGAGTCATTCATTACGCAGTCTGATTAAAGTAAATTTGTCCCAAGTTGGATATTCGTCGTACTGTTTACCATGAGACCGCTGAATACTGTGGCAGAGGCTTGTATGGGCTTGGGGCAAAGACGTTCAATTCATTCTAACAAATATCTTTGGCATTTATGGTTCTTGGTCTCTCCCAACGTCCTTCAACCAAAACAGCCTTCATTATGCAAAGCAAAGTAGGGACCATGTCACAAGCGCCCAAGGCTTCAATTAGATCTTGTGCCCTCCAGTAACTATCGCGGGACTTCGGGGACCGTTCGTTCCCTGGTGTTATGATGCCCGTGTAACAAATACCATAGATGTACAAATTTGCTTATTGTAATATATTTATCACCATGTCTGAATCAAGTACCTCAGACATCGGCAGCACCAGCATGTGTGCCTCGTAGCTTGGTAGCTATGTCTCGACTCTTGATCACCAATGGAAATCCTTTTACTTGTGTCTTGTTCCGACGCCCAATCAGTAGCCATGAAATGTCGGTTCGGGGTATTAAAGCCATGCCAGTCGGAACTTGACATTCCCGCTGCGCCAGGACCTCCGATAGGCACAGCTACAAGCCCGAGGGACCCTAGCTCACAAAGATGGTATTTATCCAAAAGTATCTTGCCCCGTCTCCCATAATCTCCTAGGGGTCAACTGTCAACCAAGTCACCATCTTCATTCTGGCGAACCTCGCCACATAGTCAGTCAACAGCATGTCTGCAACCAAAGTGGAAACAATCGAAACGCCCTTCACATCCGGCGCCGTAAAAAGCGGCAGTAGTCTGGATTTCTGGAGGTCATATGTACAAGCCCGTCCCAGCCCGACTGAGGACTTCTTCCGTCTCATCAGCCAATACCACAAGACGCATGGCAACGGCAACACTGGTCTTGCTCACGACGTCGGCACGGGGCCAGGTAACATCGCGGCAAGACTGGCAACGTACTTTGACCGTGTCGTCGGCTCAGATGTCAATGACAAAGCATTAACCGCCGCGCCGGCTCTGTTGCCGCAGGAACTTGGAGACAGAGTCACCTTCATCACCTCCCCAGCAGAGGCGCTGGCAGAGAAAACACCAGTTCAGGCTGGTGGCCAGGGCAACACGGACCTGATTACCGTGAGCGAGTGCATGCCTCTTCTAGATGCACCCAAGGCACTCGAGTCGTTTCACCAACTCCTTCGTCCCGGTGGCACTTTGGGCATTTACTTCTATGGTCCCTGCCTCTTCGCCGACGGAGATGTGGAAAACTGCAACAAGGCCTATGACAAGGTCGCAACGCGTATATGCCGCTTCAACCAGCCAATGAAGGGCACGCCAGGGTTTCCTTTCCACCTGCGCGGTGCTGAGACTTTGATAAGCTACCTGGATAACATTGCCATACCGCAAGCGGATTGGGAGAGCGTTGAGCGCCATAAATGGAACTGCGATTTCCCCCTCATCTTCAATAGCAAGGCTGGATTCGATTTTGATTTCAACCCCGTGGATCGAAGACATGAGAACGAAATTACCAAGCAAACAATAGACCGCAATTTCTGGGGCGCAGACTGGTCTATAGAGGACGTCCAAGCGTACTTGGAGTCGGTCTATCCCAACTACCGACAAAAGGCTGGCCATCAATATTCTGAAGTGGAGGTCTTGTTGGAAGAGCTGCGCGATGCCATGGGCGGCGAAAGGAGAAAGGTGACATTTCCCGTCGTGTTGATCCTGGCTACGAAGAAAGCGGCCTCGGATGCTCCCAACGAGCCTGTTGGTATCGTCGCAACGACAGCCAACAGGGTTCAACTCTCGGCAAACTCTTCGATCCTTGGTCGAGTCAATGACATTCCAGCCGACTCTGTGCAGAAAGCCAACCATTTGCTACAGAAGAATCATGATGAGCTGCACATCTTTTGGCGAGATGTCAATGGCCACAATCACATGGCACACTCTCTTCTGACGACGTTTGCCATGGGCGGCGATGGTCGCGAACTGCAGCGTGCCTACGACGACGGCATCTCGGTGCAGCGGCCGGCGCCAGAGCTCGACAACGAGGTAGTAAATGGCCTCGCCGACGACGACAAGATGCTTGGGATACTGGGCCAAATTCCCCAATACACCAACGTCCTTGCGTTTTTCGAACGGCAGATCGACCAAAGCAACTGGAAGGAGGTCCTTCATAGGTACTGTTTCAGTCGGACAAGACTGGCAGACACTATTCTGGCCCGCATGTACGAGGGTGCATATCATCCCATCATCCACCTGGGTCTCGGAGTCGAATTTGAACAGCCTAGCATCATTGCGGAAGCTCTCGCGCAGGCCGTGACACACCCGTGGTCCGGTATTCCCGAATGCCTCCTACGAAGTGACGAGCTCGCCAGCCAAATAGGCCATCATGTTCCCAGTCCCTCTCTTGTAGAGCTCTTCGAGCAGGCCCGAGCAAACGACGTCATTCTCCACGGCCCACGCTGGGAGGACATGGGGCTCAAAATGAGAGACGGCGTCCTTGGGAGATCAAAGGATGCCATCACCAGCCTGGCGGCACAACTTCGCGTTGACCCGATGGACTTGGAGCGGCGAGCTGCCGAATCCATCAACTGCAGTGCGTTTCTCGCCGGGGCGTCACAGCGATCCGACAAGGCACCCAAGATTGACTTCTTCCATATGCATGCGGTAACGAGTTCCATCTTTGTGACGGTTTTGCTCCAGCAGACTTGGATCAGCCACGAGAACAAGGTTCGAATCGTGGAATGGAAGGGCCGCACCGATCTTCTGTGGTATGCGGCCAGCAGGTGCGCTGCGCCTCGCGTCGAGGAAATTGTCGAATACAAGGCCAAGACGAGTTCATCGATGGGCTGGAGCGAGCTCTACCGCGCCATCAACAAGATGCACGATGACGGCCACGTGGCCAAGTTTGTGCGTGCGCTCAAGAGCGGCCAAGATGTCTCTCGGCCCTTTGAGAAACAAAACCCGGCCATGTTCCCTCTTCAGGGAGACGCGTGGCTGAATCTGGCACGGATGGCATATGATTCCACTGTCGGTCTTGCAGACGAGGCAAAATGGGTTTGGGGCGCTGGATTCGAGCAAGCTTGGGGGAATGTCCCTGCCAGAATATGAAGAAGCATCAGCGAGAAGAAGGACTATGCCAGATGAGTGACCAGACTTGTTTAGCACGATTACACCTGTCTCGGGTCCTTCAATTTGGAACAGCTGTCTATGTTTATTAGTCTGCTAGTGTCTCGAGAATAAATTGTATGACCGGACTTGAGGACATCACTCGCTAATAAAGGGTCAACTCACACTTGTCCTTGCATGTTGAGTGAAGTCATTGCATGTATTGGCCCAATTTACTTTGCAAGTTACTTCCCACCTGTTTCTCAACTCTATCACCTACCATAAGGTTTCCTATTTAACCACTTCAAACCATTAGTCGGGGGAGGATTGAGTTGGTAGTCGGGCCAAACAAAGAGAGAGGGTAGGCTGCAAAGTCAACAACCTAAAGTGTATATTATTACGATAGAAAAAAGCTTAGAAATTACTCATGCAATCCGGCTTTATGGATTCCAGCTTTAAAACCAACTCGTCCCACACCCTTCCCTGTACCTCCTTTCCTTCCTCACTGGTAACAAATGCAGATGGTGCACCCGTGCCGCAGTCGGTCATGTATTGGCCATGCGACGCGGCGTCCTGAGATGCTGCATGAACCAATGTTCTACTCCCAACTTCGGTCGACCGGGCCAAGACAAGTTTTATGAGCCAAAATGCCAACGTGGGAAAGTCACGGCCGAGCTCAGAGTGGCACAGTCCGGGGTTCACGCAGTTGAATGTGACGGGCAACGTCGAGGCAGGATATTTCTCTGCAAGAGCGCGCACACAAAACACCCCTAGCAGCTTGGATACCGGATACTGTTCATTCCAATGCTTCTCCGCAAAAGCCCTGTCGTTAACAGTCGTTAAAATTTTGCCATTCGGTGCTGATTTCTGTGGAAGTGTCGTGTGCGCGTGCACATCAGACGACACAATGGAAAACATGGGTCTCGTATTGTACAGCCGCGCCGTGCTCTTTAGCTTGGGCACCACGAGCGCGGCAAGTAAAAACGTGGAAATAAAGTTTACCGTGATGCTGGCTTCGTTGTCCTCGGCGATTGCGTATTTCGCGGGGGCGATGCCGGCGTTGGCGATGAAAATGTCGACGCGATCTAACTCGGCGTTGACACGGGCGGCAAAGCTTTCCACGCTGGCGTAGCTGGCCATGTCCACTTGCCAGACTTGAATGACGTCGTTTGCGCAGCTTGTTGTAGTTTCGATGTCGACCTTGGCGCTGTTCCCTTTGTCCAGGTTGCGCACAGCAAGAATGATCTTGCCGGCCCCCATGCGCGCAAAGTGGCGGGCGGCTTCTTTACCAAGCCCTACATTGCTCCCGGTGATGACGATAGTTTTGCCATTGTAAGAGCCGGTGGGGTATGGAAGTTGCTTGAACAGCTGGCTGTAGAGGAATCCCATTGTGTGACAAGAATGTCTGGTGTTTGTTGGCACAAAGAGACAATGCCAGTTTTCCTCTCTCACGGATCATCAATATCATGGACACGCATTAATCTACTCGGGCAATCGGACATGGCTGACTTGGTGACCAGGATACAACTCGGCAACTAACCAAACTAACCAACCCCGAAGTTCAAATGCAGCACAGCCCAGACCATTCGCACACCACCCTGCCATGAAAGGGGAAACGAGACCCACTTCGCTCTCCGAATGTCTCGGAACAACGCTAAGATGGAATAAAGGTGTTCGGTCATGGCACGCAGTTTCCATTGGACATTTCAATGTTGGAAACTACTCACTACGTTAGCAAGCCTCATCCCGCACCCAGGCAGGCGCCGTGGAATCCCCGCCCGCCATGGCACGTTATACTTTATATCGGGAAAGCGCCGGTGTTGTTGTTGCTGGCCCGCCTCGGTTATACCCCTAGTTGCAGTACCATTTCCCAACCTCTTTCAACACCATGGCGACGTATGCTGTGCTCGGCGGCACAGGGAACTGCGGCGCTGCTCTTATCCAAAACTTTCTCCAGACTCCCGACACCAGAATCAACGTATACTGCAGAAACCAGCCGAAACTACATGACCTGCTCCCAGAAATTGTCGACAACAAACGGGTGCAAGTTTTCCAAGGCAGCATACACGATGTGGACCTCATGACGAGCTGTATTCGAGGCACCAAGGCCGTCTTCATGGTCGTGACGACCAACGACAACATCCCAGGCTGTTCTCTCAGCCAGGACAGCGCCACAAGCGTGATTCAAGCCCTGGAAAGAATCAAGGCCGATTCGCGCCCTGGTATCGAGCTGCCAAAACTCGTCCTGTTGAGTTCTGCCACTATTGACGATCATCTCGCCCGCAACATGCCGGGTTGGTTCCGCCCCATCATGTTGACTGCGGCTTCGCATGTGTATCGGGATCTGCGTCTCGCCGAGGCGTATTTGCGGTCGCATCAAGACTGGGTTACTACCATTTTCATCAAGCCGGGAGGACTATCGCCGGATGTCTCGCGTGGCCATCAATTGAGCTTTGATGAAGAGGAGAGTTTTATCAGTTACTTGGATCTCTCTGCAGCCATGATCGAGGCAGCAGATGATGAAGGAGGAATGTACAATGGCAAGAACGTGAGCGTGGTAAATAAGACGCGTGGCGTAGGGGCAAAGTTTCCGAGGGGAACCCCCTTTTGTATTTTGATGGGCTTGTGTCGGCATTTCTTTCCCTTTGCACACAACTATTTGCCCAAGACTGGACCCGCGTAACAATCTTCTTTTGGGATTATTCTCAAGAATAACGAGATATTAAATACACTCAATCTGTATATGATTATAGCTACTACTAATATTGTGAAATATGGCCTGACCTGGAATGTATTTTTCGGGAGACGGAAGGACGTCATAGTTACAACCGACATGATAACAATTTGCTGGTATCTTCCTACGTGGCACGCAATCTTCGGACCTTCTGCTGTTTTATATATTCTACAGAGAGTGCTAGCTATTGTCCTTGTTCGATTGAGCCCAGCGTATAGAGTGCTAAATCAGCGTCCGTATATAGACGATAAAATTTCGCCCGAGGCAATTTTCCGTGGGCACCAGGTCGGAAGTCCGGATACCCCTACCTCTGGCTTTCGAATGCGAGTCGGAGATCAACCACGTGGCATAGCCGACAAGATAAAGTGGCTTGCTCCCATTGCGAGCGCTCTCTGCTGCCCTGAGCGTTCTTGTCATCTCATATTACAACCTATTATATTGGCCATCAAGATCTCACATTGCCAACATTGTACGATCATAACGCCATGTCGGGAACCATTGCTCCAGTTACTGCCGTAATTACGGGGTCATTCCTCTCCGGTTGGCAAACCAATCTCAGACGAAATGCATTCCATCAGGTACAGGGCGACTAACATGATTTCCACAGGAGCAATGATGTCTCTCACTTTTATCACGGTTCCAGTTTTCTTTGACACGACTGTCGACGAGGTGCTTCTTGTTAACCAGTGGAGACGCATGTATCACTACGGGCACCAGATTATGCCGGTCTTGGCAATAGGCACATTTGCGTTGTATGCCGTTACGTGCATCAAATACCATGCTGCTAAAAGGCCATACGGCATCTTCGCTCTTGCTGCCGCGGCAACAGTCATCATGATACCGTTTACATGGTTTATTATGGCAAGCACGAATAATAGACTCTTCCAGTTGGAGGCAGCGAGCAAGATGCGCTCCCCCACGGTGGAAGTCACGGGAGTCGCGGAGCTGTTGGTGACGTGGAACTGGTTGCACTTTACGAGATCGCTGCTGCCATTATCGGGAGCCGTCTTGGGTACACTGGGAACATTTTGATTCTTGGGCCATTATATCAATAACATTGGTCTATGGATCTCATCACTTACTCAGAGGGTCCATAATCAACAAGTTGACATGGTACCACGAGCGTTGGTCAAGGGAAATCCGTTTCACCGAAGAACGCATATCAGGGAGTACATTGCAATGTTTATTCTCTACGTAAATGTCTCAAAATAGAATGCTGTCTAGTCGACTTTTGTACTATTGACCTCGACCCCATCCCTAATTATCTCTGTAACCCACCCAATCGTCATCATGCTCCTTTTGGTATCAGCAAACTTCTCGTGATCCCCAACCAAGTGTTCTTTATACCAAGGATCTTGTTTCATTCTCTTGTAGTCATCCACATTTTGAAACACAACTTGGCTGAAACAGTCAAAGTCGGCCAAGTTGGTCATCTGATGGTCAAAGAGCCGAGCCATGAGGCCGCGCGTCTCAAGCGTGTTGTGAATCTTTCTGATGTCAACTTTTATTCTCAAAACAATAACAACGAAGTTGTGGTATCAAAACAACAAGACAAAAGGTGGAAATGCTGAGGAACCACCCATGGCCAGGCATGATGCCTCCAATCCACTTACCATGGTCCATCTTTTAACGCCATATTTCACCATCAATCCACTTGTCATTGGGGCAGAAACTTGAGTCATGTGCTCCCTGTAGTCTTGTTCGCTCATGCCTGGTCGGCGGTAGCCACAGATTGTCAAGCAAAGAAAGTGAGTGTTGGGTTCCCCCGACGGGGGAGCTGGAATTTCTGGGTGGTCAGACATGCTAGTGCTAGTTTGGGAAATATCCTGCTTCTAAAAACAGGATAAGTGGGATTGTAAGGACATGGAGGCACTGGGGTTATAACGGCCACTTGCCTGGTTAAATACTGGGCACTCCACGGACTCCGACGCCATCGGCAGCCAGGTAGCAATACCAGACATTTACCGGAAAATGTCAACCTATATTACTACTCTTACAAACTTGGAGGTATCAGTCCTATTCGACTGCACGTTTGCCTGAAAGATGCTACCTTGCTGAAATTTATCAACTAAAATACCAAATGGTACTTACCAGATGCACGGAATTCGAGGTGGACACATGATATCTACATCTAAGGGGACCCGTGAGAACAGGGCTGAAGTCTAAAATCTTTTAAACCTCTTAATCAAGTACTATGTTTTAAATTTATTAAAATAGCGTAGATGCTTAAGGATATTAAATGAGGTTAAACTTATTATTGCTTAGTTTCGGGATAAAGTTGGTATTTTAATTTATCTAATTCAAAAAAATACTTTACACTTAATTGAAGACTAGCATAAAACGCAGAAACGCATTTGAATTATCACCACAACCCGCTCATTTCCACCCTACATCACTTGAACACGAGCATCGGCCCTGGAGGTAGTCATCGGGCCCGTCATCAGGCCTCCCGCATTCTGCGGCATTGCCTCTACGGAGTACCACTTCTTCTTTCCCCCGCGGATCTCAAAAGCAACACGGCAGTCACCCGCCAACTTTCTTAGAACCTCGTCAATGAACGGTTCTAATGCAAGAGTTCGAGTGCTCTCCTCCAAAGCCTCGCCGTAGATTTCGGTGACAAGGTCCTGTATAGTGATGCTCCTCTCACCACGGGTACGAGCGCGACCAAGCGCCTGCATTACTTGTCTCTCGCGTCTCAGCTTGCCATCCAATTCCTTTTTCAGCTTCGCCGGCAAATCAGTGATGGTGACTCCATGTGCAGAGAGGCCAACGGCGCAATTCTGCATGTACATCTTCTGTAGGCTGGCCATGAAGATGCCCAAGTCCTCTACGGCGCTTGTTCCGTGACCGAGGATGTTGTCACCGGTAAACATGGCCTGCTCCTCCTCCAGAACAAAGCACATGTGGTCTTCCGAGTGTCCAGGAGCATGGACCGCACGGATAGTTGCTCCCTCGACCCTAAAAACCTGGCCATCGGTAATGTTCTGCTGGCCCTTATCTGGCTCATTCTTGTATATCGACCCTTCCAAGTGCGGATACAGTCTCAGAAGGTCAGGGACGCCGCCAGTGTGATCTCCGTGCCAGTGAGTCAGCAAGACATGAGATAAGCTGACACCCATGGATTCGAGTGTGGACGAGATCAGTTCAGCCCAGGCTGGTTCCCCCCCAGAAGTATCGACGATAAGTCGATGCGTGCCAGTGCCGATGACATAGGTGTTGGTACCTTGATATGTAAACTGTGTGAAAGCGTTAATCACTGAGATGTATTTACATTTTGGAGTCAAAAATCATCCAAAGCGCACCTTTCCTGGATTCTGACCCAGTATACGTAGAACTCGAGGCGTGAGCTGCTCGACATTCGGTAATTTCGGCAGATTTGTTGTTTGTCCCTGTAGATAGTCTTCAAACGCACATATATTCAACGACTTGTTGATCTGCCTGTATCCGCCTTTGTCTGCTTGCATGACCGCTGTGTTGATATCTGGAACCATTTCATCAAGCGTATCGGGAAGACTTCTCTAGACTCAATTTAGCGATCGTAATGACTCTTTCGTTTCAAATTCGATTAGAGATAGTTGAGGCTCGAGGAAAGATTTGGTGATGCTTTTTGCAGAAAAAACATCGTGGCAAGAGCCGGGCTCAGTGTATAGAAGGCGACATCAACACCCTGTTTGCCGGCGTGCCAATTTGATGGAAGCCGAGTGGCGAAAATAATAAGCCTAAACAGGGTCTGCAGCGGCGTCGCCGAAAGCCAGATGAAAAATGAGCCACCATGAATTCGCTAGGTATTTCGATTTATGCCGAAGGAAACCTGACGCTCGGACTCCGACACTTGAACGAGTCTATCCGAGGAGGTGGCTGCCATGCAGTAGTCCTGTATCAGCTTTCATATCGACACAAATTCTCCACTTTCTGACAGTCCTAAACTGACTCAAGCGGGCAAAGAGTTCCGAATCAAGCTAAGAAGTTCCGGTGCAAGTCGAACGGCCTTCGGATGAATCCACTCGGGGCGAAGGAGCATGTAGTTCAGAAAGAACAGGCCCATGATCCACTGTGAGATTCTGACAGAGGGAGATTTACGTTGACTTTGATATTGTGGGAGGCTACGGAGTGTACATCATTTCGGAGCACAAAGCTCACCTCGGCATGCCACGACTGGGTAAATCCGGCTGCATTTGAGCGGCAAATTGGGGACTATAGACGAGAAAGGCACTTCCACGTGGCATAACGGTATAACCAAATTGTAATTGTACAATTCTTACTTATATACCTGGCTGGAGACATTTTCTTCGTATGAAGGAAGTCGGACTGGCGAGTACTGTCGCTCATGTCTCGCCGTCAGCAACCGATGAGCATATCTTGTTGCATACATGTTCCGTCCGTACCATCGGTGTGTTGAAGTCTGGACTCGCTCTCCGCACGTCTGAACTTGAATTAAGTCTGGTGGCCCCATCCGCAAGAAGCCCCTATCAGTGCTAAGCATTCCGTTGCCATCTCTGCTTCATCGATCCTCGCTCCCAACAATGGTCATACACACCCCCAACACAATTTCAGACAGCGATGGAGAACTATGCAAGATGAATTTCATATACTTCAGCAATGAGTTCCCGAAAGGCGATCTTCAAGATCTTCTACGTCTCCTGCATAGCCACAGCAAGGACAAACATCACCCAATTCTAGCGCAATTCATAGATGAAGCTACGCGGGCCGTCAAGGAAGAAGTTCGCGCTCTACCAAGCGAGCTGAAAGATTTGATTCCGTCATTTACTACCATTCTGAGCTGGGCTGAAGATGGCGGCCTTCGCGAGGGTCTCATCTGCGGCGCTGTGGATGGAGTTCTCCTCGTCGTCGTTCAGTTAGCGGCGTATATTGGGTGAGTAGCCGTTTCCCTCCATGTTGTTACCCTGGCTCGTTAACAGTTGACGGCGTAGATATGTGGAAAGTCACCCTGAAGAGTCCGTCGACGTTTCAAATTCCGGCCTCCTTGGCTTGGGCATTGGGTTGCTAGCCTCGACGGCCATCTCGTTGTCATCGACCGTTTCGGAGTTGCCGCTTGCAGGCGCAGATGCAGTTCGGTTGGCCTTCCGTTTGGGAATTCACGTTCTGAGCGTCTCGGAGAACCTGGAGGCCAGAGACTTGTCGCAAAAGGAGGACTCGTGGGCGTACGTAGTTCATAATGTCGACCCAGTTGCAGCGCAGAACGAGCTCGACATATTTCATTCTCGATTGAACACACCGAGTACGGCGAAAATCTTTGTGAGTGCTATCAGCCAGAATTCCGTCACAGTCAGCGGGCCACCGGGAAGATTAAAAGGTCTGTTCAACAAGTCAGAGTTCTTCCGCGTGTCAAGATGCATTCCTTTACAAGTCTACGGAGGCCTCTGCCACGCACCACACATCTACAACCAACAAGATATACACGCTGTAGTGTACGGTAGCTCCTTGAACACCATTGTTACGAAAGCTCGGCCGGCTTTGTTGGTTTACTCAACCAGGACCGGACTACCCTACACGGCAAATAATGCGGCAGAACTGTTTGAGTGCGTCATATCAGAGCTGCTGACAAAAGCAATCTGCTGGGATGAAGTTATTCGTGTCGTGGTGGACCAGGTTCAGTGTGCTGGACCTCGCGGAGTGGTGTTGAATTGCTTTGGGAATTCAATTCCACTCAATGACCTCAATCTTGCCTTGAAAAGTACGTTGCCGGACTGCAAAGTTTTAATAAAAGACTTCATTCCATGGCTCTCCCTTGCTGCGCCAAGAAGCAACACTCCCCGCGGTGCCGCGCAGTCCAAGCTCGCCATCGTTGGCATGTCTTGCAGACTCCCAGGGGGCGCAACAAGTACTGAAAAGTTTTGGGATATCCTGGAAAAGGGCATGGATGTTTCGCGGCAGATACCTGCCGACCGCTTCGATATCAACACGCATTACGACCCAACCGGCAAAGAGCTTAACAAGACTATGACACAATATGGTTGTTTCATAGATGAGCCCGGCTTGTTCGACGCACCCTTCTTCAACATGTCACCACGTGAGTCGCTGGTAGTTGATCCACAGATGCGATTATCTCTAGTCACAGCTTATGAGGCACTGGAACAAGCCGGATTTGTTGCAAACCGCACCGCCTCGACAGCATTGCCACGAATTGGGACGTACTATGGCCAAGCTGCCGACGACTATCGTGAGGTGAATCAGGGTCAGGAGGTTGGAACTTACTATATCCCCGGAGGTTGCCGTGCGTTTGGCCCGGGCCGTATCAATTACTTTTTCAAATTCGCTGGCCCCAGTTACAGTATTGATACCGCCTGCTCCTCCGGCCTGGCAGCGATTGAAGTGAGTGACGCAGCAGTATCTGATGTGGTTTCCTAAGCAAACGAAGCTAATATACGTGGATAGGTAGCTTGTCAGGCTCTGTGGGCTGGCGACGTGGACATGGCTGTCGCTGGCGGCGTGAACGTGCTCACCAATCCCGATGGTTTCGCTGGATTATGCAATGGTCACTTCCTTACCAAAGGCCACAACGCATGCAAGACCTGGGACGCCACTGCAGATGGTTACTGCCGAGCAGATGGCGTTGGATCTCTTGTCATTAAGAGGCTTGAAGATGCCGAGCTGGACAACGACAACATTCTCGGCGTCATTCTCGGCGCCGGGACCAACCATTCCGCGGAAGCAGTATCTATTACACACCCTCATGCCGGTCACCAAGCTTATCTTTCTCGTCAAGTGCTTCGCCAGGCTTGTGTTAATCCTTTAGACGTGTCCTATGTCGAACTACATGGCACCGGCACTCAAGCCGGCGATTACGAAGAGATGCAGGGGATCATGGACGTTTATGCTCCTCTAGCCAAGCGCCGTAGCAAAGATAAACCTCTACATATAGGCGCTGTCAAGGCAAATTTGGGTCACGGAGAATCCGTTGCTGGTACGACAGCATTGATCAAGGTGCTTCTCATGCTCCAGAAGAATGCCATTCCACCGCATATTGGTATTAAGACGGAGATCAACCCAAAGTTTGGCCGCGACATTGACAAACGTAATCTCAAAATTCCATTTGAGATGACTCCCTGGCCACATGTTCCCGGAAAGAAGCGAATTGCTGCAGTGAACAACTTTGGAGCCGCTGGTGGCAACACGACCATGGTCCTCGAAGAGGCACCAGTCCGCCCAGCGGATGAGACGGACCCGCGGCAGACTCATGTTATTTCTGTATCGGCCAAGACTAGATCGTCACTGGCTGGAAATATCGAGTCCTTACTTGGATTCCTGGATAAATATCCAAACACTAACTTGGGCAATCTTGCGTACACGACGACAGCGCGACGCTACCAGCACACCCACCGCGTCGCCATCGCCGCATCCAACATTGCACAGCTGAGGAAACAGTTGACTTCACGACTGGATCAGATCGACTCTATCAAGCCCGTCGCAAAATCTGGCCCGCCGCCAATTGCCTTTACCTTCACTGGTCAAGGAGCGTCTTACAAGTCGATGAGTCTAGAGCTGTATCGAGATGTTCCTACGTTCCAACATCACATTCGGCATCTTGACTCTCTCTCTCAGGCCCAGGGTTTCCCCTCTTTTATCCCTGCTCTTGACGGATCACATCCAAAGGAACACGAACATTCCCCAGTTGTTACGCAGCTTGCGTTGGTTAGTACCGAGATAGCCTTGGCTAAATACTGGTCGTCTCTCGGAGTGAAACCCGACGTCGTCATGGGCCATAGCCTTGGCGAGTATGCGGCGATGCACATAGCCGGGGTGGTTACTGCCAGCGACACCTTATACATGGTCGGAAAACGGGCGCAAATGCTGCAGGAGAAATGTGAGAGCGGCAGTCACTGTATGATGGCCGTCCGGGCTTCTCTAGAAGAGATAAAGGCGAGGTCAGAAGGCAAGCCGTACACAATTGCGTGTATCAACGGGCCCTCGGATACGGTGCTCAGTGGTACCAAGCAACAAATAGATGAGGTTGCTATTCTCCTCGAGCAAGCCGGTTTCCGGTGTATCAAGCTAGATGTCGCCTTTGCTTTTCACTCGGAGCAGACGGATCCTATTTTGGATGACTTTGAGGCCCTGTGTAAGTCTGGAGTTACTTTTCAGGAACCCAAGTTGCCTGTCATCTCCCCGTTGCTTGGCAAGGTTATATTCGATGGCAAGACACTCGGCGCCAACTATGTCCGCCGCGCTACTAGGGAACCAGTTGACTTTCTGTCTGCTTTGCAGAACGCCCAGAGGGTTTCCACCATCAGCGATGAGACGGTTTGGGTCGAGGCCGGTCCGCATCCTGTATGCACTGGCTTTGTGAAGTCTATAATTCCCGCCACACAGCTTGCCGTTCCGTCCATCCGGCGTGGTGAAGACAACTGGAAGACCATGGCCGAGAGCATGGCGGCTCTGCATCTCGCGGGCATCCCCGTTAGGTGGAATGAGTTTCACCGTCCCTTTGAGGCCAGACTTCGTCTACTCCATCTTCCGGCTTACTCCTGGAATAACAAGAACTATTGGATGCAGTACAATGGCGACTGGTGTTTGACAAAAGGCAACAACTTCTATGAGACTGGGAATGACGCAACCAAGGCCAAGGCAGCACTGAAGTCGCCCCCGCTAAGCGAGCTTCAGACATCAACAGTGCAGCAGATTATCGAAGAGAGCTTTAATGGCTCAGCTGGTTCAGTGGCCATGCAGTCTGATCTCATGCAACCCGATTTTCTTGCTGCTGCCCATGGACACCGTATGAATGATTGCGGCGTTGTCACTTCTGTAAGCCATGTAATCGCATGACTCTTTACTACCACGTGCTCACAATTTTTATAGTCTATCCACGCCGACATTGCCTACACCCTCGGTAGCTATCTGCACCGCAAGTTGCTTCCCAAAGCCAAACAAGCAAACATGAATATTAGCAACCTGGTCGTCACAAAAGGGCTCGTGGCTAATAGCGACACAAAGTCTCCTCAGTTGATCCGTGTGACAGCCTCGACTGTTGATGCCCACTCAGGTGTTGTTGACTTGACGTGGCAGAATGTGGACAACAACGGCTACGTCCATGAGCCGTTCGCTACTGCCAACATCATTTATGGTGATGCAAATGAATGGATCTCCAGTTGGAATCCCATTGCTCATCTCATCCACAGCCGGATTGAAACTCTTGAGCGCCTTGCCGTAGAGGGCAGGGCTAGCAGATTCTCCGGCAACATGGCGTATACCCTGTTTGCAAGCAACTTGGTTGACTACGCAGAAAAGTACCGGGGCATGCAGTCCGTGGTGATGCATCAACTAGAAGGCTTCGCCAACATAGAGCTCACCACCAAAGAGGGCGGAGTCTGGACAGTCCCGCCATATTTCATCGACAGCGTGGCACACCTGGCTGGCTTCATTATGAACTGTTCTGACGCCATCGATACGAAGAACAACTACTGTGTCACCCCTGGCTGGAATTCCATGAGGTTTGCGAAGCCACTGGTTCCAGGGGCGCAGTATCGCTCCTATGTCAAAATGATACCAACAGTCGAGGACCCAACGATATATTTTGGTGATGTCTACATCATGCAAGACGACATGATTGTAGGCATGGTTGGCGGAATTCAGTTCCGTCGCTATCCACGCATTCTCTTGGGCCGATTCTTCTCGCCCCCAGACAAGGCGGCAGCTATGGAAGGCAAGCAAGGTATTGTTGCGCCGCAGCCAAAGACGACACGGCCAGCCCTCAAGCCTGCCGCCCCTGAAAGGGATCACGGCAAAACTAATCTGCCACCAGTCAAGCCTGCTGCTGAAGTTGCTGATGGACCGAGCAAAGACAAGCTTCTGCCTACCAGTGCTGGGGTACCAGCCGTGGAGTCCGCCACGGGGTCTAACAGCGTCGCATCGAAGGCACTGCAAGTCATTGCCAGAGAAGCCGCCTTGGAAGTTTCCGACCTGGAGGATGATGCTAGTTTTGACAATCTCGGAATAGATAGCCTGATGTCGCTTGTGATTGTGGAGAAGTTCAGGATTGAGCTGGACATCAAGGTTGGCGGGAGTCTTTTCTTGGACTACCCGACGATTGGTGATTTCCGGAAGTGGCTTGAGGAATATTACGGTTAATTCAAGATCGTTTCAGGATGCCTTTACAACAATATGTAGCTATAGACGGAGGAAAGTAGAATTTCACTGAATAGCAATCTGACACTCATCTTATTTAGACGATGATTTAAGCTTCGCAAATATAAGTGATTTCTAATAGGAGTTACCATGGTCAATTCCCAGAAGCCTTGATGCTTAGCCGTACTTGGTTATTGTATGCGTTGACGACCTAGTAGGTTTGAGCAGGCCCGGCGAGGTGTGCCTCTTGGATTACACAAATGAGAATAATGTTATTTAGCATATACTACGGCTACTACTATATGTTCAATATGTATTATACTTTCATGTACAAATGATACAGTAAAATAGCCTATAAATTGACCGACCAGAGCGTTGGATAGAGGACGACGGCTCCGGAGACAGCATCCAGCGAGCCCGTGCCGCCTTCAATCCGTTATCACTCGGAACGCGGTCTTGTCTTGGTAAAAGCCTTGCTTACCATCAAATTGCCATCGCCATTGGGACCATCCTCCGCCGAGGAGACTTTCGTTTTACTCCAGGAGAGTTGGGGCGGATTGGTCGAGGCAAGCCAGGAGCAGGAGCAAGCTGTCGAGGTAGACAACCTGAGAATGAGTTTCAGCCGCGTGAGCACATTGCAGGACAAAGGAATGGTCCCTGGCTCGAGTTTCTACCCCAGAGTCGCTAACGGCCCGTTTCTCGCAAATTCTCGTCGGCACTGGGTTCGCTCATCTTAGTGCCGCGAGAACTCACTCCATGGCCTGCTTCATTGCTACATGTGTATGTTCTGGAATCTTTGACAGCGGGATCATGCTGATAGATTAGGTCTGGATCTGGAAATGTGTGAATTTCGTATGATACGATTAACTTGAATTGTACCGTATCGAGGTAGAGGAACCGTCATTCAGGGTCCCGCAATGCCCTTCATATCGTTGTAAAGTGTACGGAAAGCACTTTCTCGCCGTAATAATGTGACTGGATCTCCCCATTCTACTATGCAGCCGGCATCCATGACTGCGACGCGGTCAAACTCCCGGATTGTGTCCAGACGATGTGCAACAGCGATGATAGTATAGCGTTCAAAACGCTCTTGGATAATGTGCTGTATGAGTGCCTCCGTCTCACTGTCAGCGGCAGCTGTTGCCTCGTCCAAGACAAGAATAGAAGAGCGCCGCATCATTGCCCGTGCTAGACACATCAGTTGACGCTGACCATGCGAGAGTAGATCCTGCGGTAATTTCCCATCCAAACCACCAACCTCGTCAATGCAGAGCATTTTCCACAGCCCAACTTTCTCGAGCGCCTGTATGATACTCACGTCGTCATTATCACCAGTAGGGTCAACGTTGAAACGAACTGTTCCAGGGAGGATATACGCATCTTGCGGTAGGGCAATCAGTCGCTCTCGTACTTTCTGCCGCGGAATTGTTGATATATCAACGCCATCGACATGAATAGAACCGTCGTCTAGTTCTAAAAGGCGAAAAAGACAAGCTATCAAAGAACTCTTGCCGCTTCCGCTGCGACCACAAATGCCTATATGTTGACCAGGCTCGATGGTAAGAGACACGTCTTGGAGGACGGGCCCAGATCCCTTTCCATATGAGGCCATTACGTTACGGTATTCCACAGATCCAAACTGCGGCCAACTCTCAGAGACAGCTACCCGCTCGGCGGGAAGGTTCTCGCATCCGACGGTGGAAACAAATGACTTGACTCGGGTTATAGCACCTGCTGATGTTTCAAGCATAGTCCAGTGAATGATGAGTTGTTTTAGACCAGCGCTGAAGCCAACAATACTAACCAAAGCCAAACCTAGTAATCCGACATCCAGTCCTCGTGCCTGCACAGCAATAGTGGCAAGAACTATGGCTATACCACCAACCATAAGGTCCAGGACAAGACTAAGCCATCTCTGAACACTCAACAAGAGGTAAAATGGCCTTTGAACAATGTCAATAAGCTCGTTGTTACGCTCGATAAAGTACTGATCCCAGTTGAATGCCCTGAGTATGATCAGGCCACCCAGAGTTTCAAGGAAGTGCGCGAGGAGGATAGACCTTGATTCAATGTCTAGCAGCCGTAATGTGCGCGACGTTCGCAGGTAGAAGCTCTGGAGGACATAAACAGCCAGGACACAGAAAAAAAGTGCGGCTCCAATGTATTTGCCAGTAGCGGCGATAAAGATGGCTCGCGCAATGAGAACGAATATCATGACAACTGTGTTGATCAATGACAAAGGAAGATCCATGTCAATAAGCTCCATATCCTGATTAAATCTGTTGGTAATAGAGCCAGTATCTGAAGTGTAAAATAGAGACATTGGAGCATTGATTACGGTAAAAAGGAGGCGTTTGTGTAGAGTCAGCGCAACGCGAGGAGCTAGGCTGGTGATGAGGAACCTAATACACAATAAATCATCAAATATTCGTCTTGGTATAGTGCGTCCCTTTAACAACTTACCCGGCAGCAGATCCAAGACTAACGACAGTCAGAACGCCAAGAAGAAGATATATACCCCAGTAATAAGCAGCGTTTGTGTTTGGATACAGCATGTTGTCTGCTGCCCACCACTTCAACCACACCTGTGGGAATGTGGAGAAGAATGCAAACATGGCACAAATTACAACAAATATTGACCATTTGATCCATCCAAAGCACTCAATGTAATACTTGTATATATCCATATCGCTAGTGGAAGCGTCAGCGGCATTGATTTCCGGGAGTGCTTTGGACAGAGCTTCCCGAACAGCCTCAGTTGGGAGGCATAGTCCGCTGTTTTGCATGCTATCATCTTGACGACCCCGTATTTGAAGGTTTGACACGTATCCATCGGCACTTGATAACTCATCATAGGTTCCCAGTTGAGCGACGGTACCATCTGAACCGAGTACCACGATCAGATCTGCTTCAGCTAAGCGATGGCCAGAATTGGTTGCCAGAACTGCAGTCATTTTATGACGTCGTAGAAGTCCGGATTCGGAGAATACAGATGCAAACACCAGCTTTTCTGTTGTGGCATCAAGCCCACTGAGGACATCATCCATTATCACTATTTGCTTGCGAGAGTACAAGGCTCTAGCAAGAGTAAGACGCATTTGTTGTCCGCCGCTGAGATTGATACCATTACTCCCTACGAGCATTTTGTCACCTTGTGGGAATTGATCTATGTCGTGAGAAAGAGCACAGGCATTCAACACGGTGGAATACCAGTATGGGTCAAGAGGTAGAGATCCAAGAATATTCTTCTGGAGGGTAGCATTCATAATCCAACATGACTGCGTACAAAAGGCGGCATCTGGAAAGGCTGAAATGATGGAACCAGTTGAGATAAGTGTTTCGCCTAATAATGTATGAAGGAGGGTAGATTTGCCACTACCAACAGGGCCAACGACCATTGTCAGTTTGCCAAGAGGAATGTCGAAGCTTAAATCATGCAAGATGCATGATCGATGGTCCGTCCATCGGGCGGAAATATGCTGAAGTCTTATTGCAAATGCGCTTTCCTGGGGAGTGGCCAACCGTGCCGTTTCAGCAAGTTCCTCCAGTTCGTAAGTTTTACTGGACGGCACCTCTTTCTTCTCGTGGTGGGACAGGCTTTTGGCATTGTCAGGAACAATAGTTTCGTTTAAGGAACCTGCTCTGCTGGAGCTTGTTGTCGGCATGTGTGATTGCGATTGAATGGCATCCGGATGATAGAACTGGTTGAAGGTCCTGTTATCAACACGCATGTCGGTGTTCAAATATTGCTGAATTCGTTGGAAGCATCCGACGGCACCCATAATGCCACCTAGGCCTTCCACAAAAAGCGACATGGGAGCAATCATAAGCTGCAAGAGGGTTAGCGTCGTTATAGCGTTGGTGACATCCAAGATGTTGTAAGCCATATATCGCTGTAACAAGATGTAGATACCGAAGGCGCCGACCGGAGATAGAGCAATACTCAAGTAAGAAATAGCAACTATCTTGAGCAACACGAGTCTATACCCAAATGAAACCTGAACCTCCCGTTCGCGAATATTGGTGATTATTTTAGCCAGTTTATCAGCAAGTCCTGTCATCTTGACGGCTTTCATGACCTTGAGCATCGACGCCGTGGCTGCCAAGCGAGTCTGGATAGAGTCGAGCCAGGCTTTTTGGGCTACCGGAGCGCCAGAGGCCACCACGGCGCCCAGAGCAGCACAGATGATGACGGTACCAGCAGGTCCCACGAGAGCGAGACCAAGTTGTGCGTGTAACAACCATAGAACAAGGCCAACTTCAATGGGCGACGCCCATAGCTCATGCATAGTCCTGAAGCCCGTCACGATCCTCTCCACATCAGCACTCATCAATGTGACAGAGTCGGCGTCCTGTAAAGAAGTCGAGCGAACTTTGAGAGTGTGGCGATAAATAACATCGATGAGGTCAGCTCGCATTTTGGCGATGAGTTGGAGAGTCCAGTGCTGGGTCAGGGCCGTTGATACGGCAATACCAGTGTACACGATGGCATACGAGATGATGAGACCGGTGCCAAATGCCGGTCGTTCTGTCAACTCTGGACTTTGAATGTAGGATATTAAACGCTCGATGAGAAAGGGTTGTGCAAATGTGAACCCAGTCTGACAGGCACGAGGTATCAATCCCTTGAGCAGGAGAGTTTTGTTATGTAGCATGCAGGCTAACAGCAGCGCCCGAGGTTGCCTTTTGAACTTGCCTAGAGAGGTGATGAAAAATTTCCAGTCAAAATTTAGAACCACAATTGCTTCAAAAGGCCACTTACAGACGCCCCAGCGATGATAAAAGCTTTCGTATTCCCCGCATGTTCGCAAGTTCTGATCCACATCGTCCAACGATTTCAGCGCGAGTTGTCGTCTATATCCTCTGAGGAGGACTGGATTGATCCACCAGGCAAACCATTGGTTAAATTCGCTAGCGATCGACTCCGGTGGTAGCTTCTTGTACTCTGGAAGCAAAATGTTGTGCTTCTCTGTCGACTCAAGCAACAGTAGGAGTGTCTTCAGTCCGACGGCGACGCTAAACACTATGGCTGTAGACGCTCCCTCCACAAGTGCCCATAATGTCCGGCAGCGAGCAACATCAAAGATCAAGGTCAAACCAAGATACAGAATGATAACAGTGGATGGGCGAACACTTCGTAAATGATGCAAATGCGACAGCAATGCCAAACCAAGACCCAGGACAGGGACCAGTGTATTGGCGGCGATAGATGCTCTCGTCTTCGGACTGTGTGGATGCACACTTAATCCCAATAGCACGAAATACGAAACTTCCAGGGCAGCCCACGTTGCCTATAATTCGGTCAGTGTTTCACACGTTTGGTTAATGCGAGATGCAAGCTCTCTTACCAGCTTTACACTGTGAAACCATGTCCGCGCAACTTTGGTACTGCTCTTGAGCTTATCAGCGACGAGAAACGGCAATAGCAACAGTACTATTATCGCGGGAATAATTGTGAGGATTGTCTCCTCAAATAATAGTGTAAAGTCAAACCCTCCATAACAGTCGGCAGCAGGACCGAATCGGTCCTCTGTTTCAATGGAGCACTTTGCCATGGCGACGACTATGCTGGCGCTGCCTCAATGAAACTTGCACGAGCCATCCTCCCAAGCTTTTGTCTTTTGCCCTCAACAAGCTGCTTCCAGATCCAAGTTGCGCGGCACAGGGAGAATTGCGATTGGGCTTACGACACCGGATGAGTCATGGCACATGCAGGCCGTACCAGGGGACCCAGAGCCTGCGAATCAGCAATAGAGCAATAGCTGTTGTCTGTTCATTGTGAGTTGGACCAACAGCTCTGGTGGGGAGATTATTACGTATTGCGTTACATGATATGTACGCGGAGCCTCAATCGAGACGGCTGACGAAACGTCAAGGCTTACTATGCCTGGTATATCGACTTTGCCGTTGACATAGTAACCAACCAGGTCATCTTGGTACCGGAGTACATATGTACGTACATGTATTGCAATTACGCTACTCCGTACTGTGAGTTAGGTCGGCCGGCAATCACGAATGGACCTTGATCACAACCAACTTTCACATTCAACCTCACTTGAACTCTCGGCTACATTCACAAGTTACAACGCCCGACGAGATAGGCGCTCTACCCTGTGAAATGAACATTGATCGGTAAAACATTTGGCATTGTAAAGAACTTGACCCGACATTCGTGACCGCCCAATAATGGCAGGACCCGCTGAAGAGAATATGCAGTATCATCTCGTGCTGCTCTGCTTCGATACCACAAAATTACTACATCGTCCACACAATGATAACACCTGGAGAAGACCCAGACTTGAGTGGTAAACAGTGCTAGTGCGGAGGATGGCAAAGGTCTTGGTAGCCCGCTCCTATGCTAACATGAATGTCCTCGCAACTGGTTCAGGTGAGATATTTAGTACGAATTAGAGTGTATAATTTCCTTGATCCTTGCTTGTTAATACAAATCAGCCTTCTTGTAAAGGTGTGCAAGGGTACGTATCTTCAATATCTTTCATATCGATGCCACAACTAGTCGAAATTATATCAATACTGCTTAGGGTGGTGAATACATCTCCTAGAAACGAGAATGGCAACAGCTGGTCTTCATCTGAGCACAATTGTCCCTCACCAATACATTGAACACATGGAGCCATGGCAATGAGCTTCGGGTGTCGTAAGACATCAGACACCGATAGACAAAGACCCTTCTTGCCACATTCAGATAGCAGTCTCATGGTAGTAATTGAGTCGCCGCCTAACCGGAAGAAACTGCTATCAAGACCAATCGTCGAGGCCTTAATGTTGAGCACCTGAGCCCACAGACTTTGTAGCTCCCTTTCCTCGGCTTGTACAGCCATCCGCATCTTACCTGGACCTTAACTACAAAGGTTTTTGAGCTTCTGTGCTCAGAGGACTTTAGTTATTTTGCTTAGATTTGTACGATTGAGTTTCCCAGTTGCTGTTATGAGGAGACAGGGTAACGTAAAGATGATGGAAGGTATTATTTGGCTGGGTAGATTCTTAGTTAACCTGTCTTCCTCTTTGTTAGAGATTATAAGTGTAGAAAGAGAGAAAGTATTGTTCGTCGATTCAACCATGGTTACATTGGAGATAAAGACTGCTAGGAATGGACTAGCATCTTTACCGGTAGGTACAATGACTTCGGCTGTAATCTGCTCTGCTTGTTTGGCGTCTAGTAAGCATTTTCGAACTTGGTATTCCACCTCACCTAGCTCAATTCGCTGACGATGGTTTTAACTAGCGGTAGCTGAGCAGGTTGTAGCAGCTGAGAAACAGATATTGTCAGGTATAGAATAGCTGCCTTTGTTTGATCCACCTTTAATAAGACCCATAACCGTATAATATATAAACTTATGAAAGATGTGCTTAGTGTAGTTGTAAGTTTGAGAACTAGGTTGAAACCTAAATTGCTCTGCTTGATAGGTTTTGTTGGATAGAAAATCTGCGTGAGACACGATAACGTTCTTGGAAATACCAGTGCTACCGGATGTAAATACCACGTATATTAGTAACGACGGATTTCTATGAGGTCAAGTGGAGTTGTGAGAAAAAGTATAGGAATTAGCTGAGGACCAACAGCAACTGCCTGCCTTGCCAATTGGGAGATCAGGGGAAGGTGTAGAGTCGACAAGAGTACCACCGCAGCATCGGCCCGGTGTGTAATTGATGACAGTCGGGACTCTGGATGGGTAGGATATAGCATGAGAAATGCTTGCCAGCCTTGAGCACGGCACGGATACAAGCAGATACCTGCAGGGATTTCTCAAAGCATAATGGCACCAAGGTTCCAGGACCAACACCAAGGTGTAACAAGTGGTGTGCCAGGCGTGTTGACAAGGTTATCAAGCTGACCATAGATTAGGTCTCCGTCCCAGGCAAATATCGCCTGCGCACCAGGACGCATTTAGACCTGGCCATGGATCAAGGTATGTTCACAGCACTCTATCAGGTCTAGAACAGAGCCGTTCCATGCCCAAATCCTTTCCTGGTCTTGTCGTCGAACCCGCTATGGGTCTTGTTTGTCCAAAATCAGCACAAGCCCCACTTGTGGCCCTATACGTGTCGAATGAGGTCAACGGTTTAGCGCTCTCCCGTTTACCCGTAAGCGGCCCGCAAGCGTTAACACCTGCCTGAATAGGCAATTGCCGACTTGTACGCAAGCGTACCAAGAGGACCCCGCAAAGAGTACGGGCGGAACTCAAGGAATTGTTAAAACGAGACAAGTGTCTAGAACATTATGGGGACATTTGTGCCGCCGTCCTAAGCACAAGTTGCTCCGTAGTCGAAAAAGGGGCTTGGGGAATCAAATTCATGTCAGTAAACCCTCGGCAAATGAGGTCCTGGAGAGAGCACTGACCAGAGGAAGTGATCAATTATCATCAGGGCCAGGCCACTTAGTCATCAGCTCCAATCTAGATAGAGACCCTGACAACCCCGTCTCCTTTTCGCAGCAGAACTTTACCCCATCCATGGAGCCTGTATCGCAATAGCTTTTCATTTTGTGGCCGCACGCACAACAACCCAATCGCCCGTGCTGTATACATAAGCCGCCTTAAAATCGTCCTTTGCGTCATATCTTGCCCCATCAGTGTTCCTGCGCGCCAGTCATCCGTCACCATGGGTCTTGTATCACAAGCCATTTACTTTGCTTTTCATCCACACCAACTGCGGATGATAATTGAATGGTTGGCTTTAGCCCTCCCTCAGAATTCTCGAGGTTCTGTCCCATCATCGATGCTGTCTATCCATATGCCGAGCCTGCTGACCTGTGATTAATTGCATGGACGTAGGAAGCTTTGGCATAATCCCCTGCACAAGAGAGACGAAGACAATGAACCGACAACAGCCAAAATCTGCTACAAGTTCCTAGACCAGACCAGTCGTAGTTTTAGCCCTGTCATCAAGGAACTACACCCTGAGCTACGATTACCTATATGTGTGTTCTATCTGGTACTTCGTGGCCTAGACACCATCGAAGACGATACGTCCATCTCCCTCAAAACAAAAGAGCCCCTCCTGCGAGATTTCCACAACTTTCTCGATCAAGATGGTTGGACTTTTACGTGCAATCGGCCTGAAGAAAAGGATCGGGAACTGCTGGTGCAGTTCCACAACGTTATTACTGAATTTAAGAAGATAAAGCCCGCCTACCAAGCAATCATCAAGGACATCACCTCTCAAATGGGCAATGGCATGGCCGATTTCGTGCGAAAATCTGCTTTAGGGGACGTAAACATCAAGACCCTCGAGGCGTACGACCTCTACTGCTGGTACGTTGCCGGTGTGGTGGGTGAGGGTCTGACTCGCCTCATTGTTGAGGCCAACATGGGCGACGCAAGATTGGTAGAGAACGCGCAGCTCTACAAATCAATGGGTCTGCTGCTGCAGAAGAATAATATCACCCGGGATGTGCGTGAGGATTTCGACGACAACCGCTGCTTCTGGCCTCAGGAGATTTGGTCCAAACATGTCGACAAGTTTGAAGACTTGTTCAAGCCAGAATATCTTGACGCTGCTCTAAACTGCAGTTCCGAGATGGTCCTTAATGCTTTGCGGCATACATGCGACTGCTTCTCCTATCTTAAGTGCCTGCACGACCAGAGCGTCTTCAACTTTTGTGCCATTCCTCAGTCCATGGCCATGGCTACTTTTGAGCTATGCTTCCGCAATCCGGCCATGTTCCAGCGCAACATCAAAATCCCCAGGGGCGATGCTTTCCAGTTAATGATCGAGTCCAGCAGAGACATTAGTGTTGTTTGTGCCATTTTCCGCCGTTACAGTATACGGATCCAACAGAAGAACGACCCCGCGGATCCCAACTTCGCGGAGATTAACAAGGCGTGTGAAAAGGCTTGTACCCTAACTGTTCCCCCCAGTTTTCTCTGCTTCTTGACAGACTGCTAATGGTTTTACAGATTAAGAGCTATGCCGACACCATCGGGTCGCAACAAGCTAGCAAGATGTCGGTCGTTGGTACGCGATGCCCCCAAGGAAAGTGGTCCAACCCTCAGCTAGCATTCGCCAGTGTCGCAATCACATCGACCCTGGTACTTGGAGCTGCCTGGGTTATGAAGGGCCAATTTGAGTTCGCCTGGCCTTGAGCTGGTACAGTGATGCGTTAGATGAGCGAATGCGCATACCCTACACCTTTTTTTTTTATGAACATTGAGGGCACTAGTGGAAAGCTGCTCCTTCTACAAAAGCGTACCCATTGAGAAGGTTTGAATAATTTTATCTTCCGTAAAGCTACGTAATATAATGTACACATTTTAGTTGGTATTGACCCCTATGCTACGGCTGGGTTGGGGGTGTGGGTGTTTAAACTGTCGACGTCACATGTGCAGTGTCAACGAAACACAAAAGTGATTAATGGTTCAACAAATTAATGCATGAGGCACAGGGCTGGAAGATCCCGGATGTCCAACAAAGTAAAACGCGTCCAGTTACCATAGCATTAGTGGCCAGCGCAGCCTTGGCTCGATCGTCGACGTCTTCAATGGAAATGGCCAAACATAAGTAGGCTAGCATTGTTGATATTTACGTAGGTACATGTATCAATGACATCTCAAAGTCTAGCAGTCTCCATGTCTGGAGGGGATATGTCAATGCTTACTCCCCCTTCCTTACCATGTATAAGTTGCTCAACCACAGACCCTCTGTCCAGGACAACGACTTGGTCGAAGCGCATGGTCATCTCAAGTCGATGGCTTACCATTGTCATCGTATACCCGTCAAACTCGTGCAGAACAATCTCCTGCACAACTTTTCGGTATCAACATTCAAGCTACTGCTGAATTCATCCAGGATGAGCACGCCGCCCTTTTTCACGGTCGGCTGTGTTGCTGAGATGGTGTCGATTTCGGCCTCGATGTTTCAGCGCACTGAGCCTGCAAATAGGACTTGCCCACATCGCGTGTCAATTCTTTCAAGGCCATGCGTCGTCGAATAATGGCCCGGGCAAGACTGAAAAGCTGCCTGTAGCCTTGACTGAGAGAATCGGCCGTCAGTCGCGCCGTTAAGCCACCCTACTCTAGCACAAAGTCCCACAAGCCTTCTTCTCGAGCGCAACCCGGCAGTCGGCATCGGTGTCGGTGTCGGTTGAATCCAGGTTGCCCTTAAATGAAGTGCCGTCAGGGAGAAAGACTGGATCTTGAGGAACTGAAATGAGCCGGTCACGTAGAGCATCGCGATCGATGGTGTCCAAAGGAAGACCGTCAATGGAGAGGGTGTACTTGGAGAACTGGATCGGGTCCAGCAGGCCCAGGAGAAGCAGAGTGATGGACGATTTCCCACTGCACAAAATTACGTTCGCCCACACAAGGCCGCCTTTTGCCCGGCTTCAATCTTCATTGTGAGACCCCGGAGGGCGAGGTTTCCGTCGCCCTCTTTTGTTTCAACACCACTTCAAGCGAAATGTTAGCCGTAACCCCAACCCTAACCCTTCTTGGGCCGTCTGATCGAGAGTACTTACGCATAAGATGCGGTGACATCTTGTATTTCAATGACACTCCTATCTGGCCAAGATGAGGGAGGCGCAGTGTGCTCACCTGGGGGATCCTGGACAGGCGTGGACTCGCTGAATGTCTTCAACCGGGTAACAGCGCCCATTGACGTCTCCAGCAGCGTGTAGTTCTGGATGATGGCGGCTATGAACTTGCCAAAGGTCATGATGGAGACCATGCTAGCACCAGCGAAGCCCGACTGCCTACGCAATTGTGTGGCAAGCACCACAATGAGAATTGCCAGCGCCGCAACAACCATGCCCAACACGAGGGTCAGCCAGCGCTGCACCATGCGCAGCAGAAAGGAAGGGCGCTGTGACGTGTTCAAAATCGTATCGATTTTCGCTCTGGCGTCCAAAGCTCCGCCAGGTCACCGAGGCTGAATTTGCGGCGATATTGCCTGGATGAGAAATACGTCCGGAAGTAGGCCCGGCAAATGTGGCCCGACATCGTCATGATTGGTGATCAGAAGGACGTCTTGAGACGGCTTCAAATCAACGGGCTTGACTAGTTGGGACGGCAGAATCACGTTGACAGAACGAGCGGACACGAGAGCAGATTTGCATTCACCTGGAAGTCCTGAGCCGTTCTTGAGCATTTAAGGGGCTTCCTTTGGACTCTGGGATCAGAATCAGACACCTTTCTTTCATCTCTCAATTCAACCATTGCATCAAAGGTCCTTGGTTGCAATCTCATCCTTTGACCCAACAAGGCTCACTCTATACAAGAGGCTTCCGTCAAGCCTAAGGCCTCAATACATTCCTTGTGATCATGTTGTGTAACCAACATCGTGACCAACATCACAGAGCCAACATAGATTAGAACCAACAGTCTTCCTAGACCTCTGAGCGGCCCGTGCCGTACAACGTGACAGGTCACGGATAACTTCCGTGTGACATTTAGCGAGCAACTTGATCTTGACAGACTACTAGGGTGAGGAATAGATTCTTAAGGAAAACTCTGACATAACCAATTTGCACTATATGTATAAAGTGAGACGATGAGGCTACTCATAAAATATAAAAGTCACCTGATTGTTCCTTCACAGTACTCCATCAGAGGGTGCGCTCGTGCATTCCAAGAACCTAACAATCAGGCTCTCCGTCTCATCCCGAGCCGCCTTGAGCTGTTCCGCAGTCTTGCGAATTCTCATGAATGGGCTATCTAATTCGAAGGGACTTACTTTATCCTGGAGCCAGTAAATGTCTGCGATTTGCTCAAAATGTGAGATAGTGTGAGGCCTTGCTGCACCTGCCCGGGCGAGCTCCTCGTCCCATGCTTTTGCTACATCCCATTGGTCCTCTGAGCAGTCCGCATTTAGGAAAGATTTTGAAAAGCCCGTGAGCATTGCATTGCGAAGGTTGAGATTAGATGCGCTTTCATATGGTCCTGGAAGCTTACCACCTGATATATTACCAAAAGAGAATCCCATGAATTCATCTGCGACTGTACCAATATAAGAGAAGTCAAAATCTAGTAGCGCAGTCACCTGAAGAGTGGTGGCATCGAAGAGGAGATTATTTGTTGCTAGAAACGTCGATATTAGAGGTGTCTGAAGTAATTAAAGCTGTATAGAAGATGGCAACTTACTAAAATCAGAGTGAACGAGAACTCTGCGGACGTCCTCATAATCCTCTAAGGTCTCTTTAAGTCGATAATCGATAAAATTTTCAAGTTTCGCTCTTACACCATTCTCTTTCCAACCTCGGATCACAGGGTTCTCATCAGCTTCTTGAAACTTGACTTTGAATATAGCGCTTAAGAAGTCCTTGTAAGTTGTACAAGGCTCGCCCTTGAATAAAGTCATCTGCGCGCTGACAACCTTCCCATCTTCATCAAACTTCAGTCCTCCGAATCTATCCACTGTCGTTGGAATCTTGAACTGCTGGAGTAGGGCTAGGATATCGGCCATTTGTCCGAGCACAACTGATTTATCCTGTAGAGTCAAATCCTCGAATCCTCTGTCAGGCATGGTCCCATGCATGTATTGCTGTATACTAAAACTCTGACCACTAGATGTGCTAGCCCAAGCGTATACATCTGGAACAATATGACTGTATTTGGACTTCGCAAGTGCCTGTCGGACAAGGGTCATAAAGGCGACTTCATTTTCAACACGGTTGGTGTTATTTAATCCAGTTCCTGGATGGGAATTCGCGAGTCTGAAAATCAGGGACGTAGCATTTGCTGGGAATGGCACAGTGCCTGGTTGGAATTCATCAAACTGGGAAGATTTGATCTTGATCGTTGTAGTTGTCGGCGATGAAAGAGTGACAAGGTAGATGAAATTGTTGTAGGGAAATGGGGGGCCGTTCATGTCATATTCGACTGGCTCAATGCTCGTCGCCTGAATTGTCGTTAGTATATGCCGTTCCAGCACAGAAGAGATAAGATAGTACTTCTAGATTATTGAGCTGGAGAGTTGATTTAACAAAGTCGAAACGCTCATGATAATGTTCATGATTCATCTTGTGCAAAGTGCGACTAGGAGATATCCCTAGACAGCTCTTCTGTAGTATGAGTGTCAGATGCAGAGGGACAGAATGGTTGTCTGAAAATCTGATAGACTTATTCAGCTCGAGGGGCGTTTTATCTCTGTTGATGTGCTTGAGTTATGACAAATACTGCATGAAAGAACTACCAGACCCTTGTAAAACCTTCGGTCGATTGGAGAAGGTAGGACTGCAAACCCTGTCTTCGCAGGACATGTCGGCCTCGGCCTTACTTACATATTTAGGCAGGCAGCAGCATTCGCAACCAACAACGTAAATGAGAATTTATTTGGCAAGCCCCCTGTGGGCTGACTCACATTCGCCAAATATTCAATGCCACACGACTCCGCATTAACAAGCATGGGACCATCTCTCTACCGAGGGATACGAGGTTATTCTCGTGGATGAGACGACGGTTATAAAATCAGGGAAGTCGCCACATCTGAGCGTTAAAGCACCTCTGAGTTGGGGCTTCGGCGATGGCAAGTATCTCGCACAGATCGACGTGTTCCATCAAATCCACTGTCTGAATGAACTCCGCAAGGAGATTGACTTCGACTATTAGAATGGCGCGAATTGGGACAAGACATCGATACCGCCTGGGCACTCTGAGCCTAAAAAGCACTGCATTCATATACTATTGCAGAATATAATGTGCCACGCTGACGTGGACATCATTACGCACAACTGGGTGCATTATGAGAACATAGACAACCGCGGCAGGCCTTACGCGGAGCCGTTGGCGGACTTCAACTTGATCAAAAGCTGCCGTGACTTTGATGCTTTGCTAGACTGGGCATTTGAGAACGCGGTGGACAATTTGACGGCGAAGTGGGCTAAATGGGAAATGCCAAAAGACGCAACATTAGTTCATGGTGATGGATACTTGTAATGAGTTTAGGTGCTCTGAGAGTCATTGCTAGAATTGGCTAAAGATGCTCCAAATATTATCTATAATTTATTGCCCAAGTTATCATGACATGCCAGGAAGCCAGAATCCCTTTCACATACACTGAGAGATGCCGCAGCAATGTTGCCTTGTCTTGGTCCAAGGTACGGGAATCCTCGGCCCCATTCTATGCGCCATCTTATGCCTTTATTTCTTGAAGAGTTAGTACGCGTAAATTAAAATTGCTCTTTTTATTGTACTAGAGACGGAAGTAACTAGTTTTTTTTTGTTTTGTTTTTTTTTGACACATGGCTGAGCCACTTGCCGTGTCAACGGCCCGCGTTACGTGGCCCCTTGGGGAACATCTCGCCCCTATCCCCTGGCATGTGAGCGTTCAATGTTGGTACTATTGTACTTGACGCGACGAAGTCTAACTGCATGCTGCAAAGACTACCTGCCTAAGCCTGATATGCAAACACGGCTCGAAAACGCATGTTGGTTGGAACTACCTGCCAATCCCAGAGCACACTACTGTTGGTTGCTGCAACACAGGTGCAGTCTGTTGATTTGATTGAACCGCTGTGGATGGCATCAGTTGACCTCCCGAAGCCCCCTTGACTCATTGAGCGAAGGTTTCTCTTATTGCTACATTACAGAACACGACCACACCTGACCTCACGATGCTCTGCGTGTCCTCCTGTAGCACCTCCATGAACTCGAAATACTGCTCTTCGTGCCTACAAAGACAACCCCTCCCTTCTTCCCTAAAAGATACCTCTTCTGACCGAGGGAGTAACATCTTCAGCACCTGTATTCCTTGCCGCGCAAAGAGTTCAGAGAAAAGGAAGGCCTTACAGCCATCATGTCCTCATGTCCCACATAAGAGACGTGAATGGCCTAAGCTATCGGCCCCCCCTACATCGCATCCAATACAACCCCTCCTTCTCCCAGGGGCAATGTGTGGACATAGGGACGAGGACGAGGTTGAGATCTTTCAGTGTGCCTTTGTAGCTGTTCGAGCAATGTCGTACCAAGCAAGCAACAGAGAAAATCGTGCCAAGTATCGACAACCATGACCCAGAGTGACAGCTGGTCAAACGACGGGGACACCAACTCCCAGAGGCTTCAAAGTCCGACATCACCAAGCGAGGATGAGCCAGCGACCTCAATTCCTAGGAGCCGTCTGAGACCTGCTGGGAAGCGCCCCATGACTCTGCCGGACGCATTGTAAATATTGATATGAGGTTGGGCTGGCTCTAGAAACAAAAGGCCTCATTTACCATCGTCGCGCCTGCCTAGGTTGTCTCGTGTCCAGATTTAGCATCAACCATAAAGAGGGAGTCGGCCCTAGCCGCTGCAGGATGGTCGAACGTACCTCGTATCCCCAAATGTCCCCTCCGAGGTAGGTATATGTAATATCAACGGGGACACGTGGTGCGAGATGCATCAGATACATAGATATTTTATGCTTGTGTGCTTAGTATGGCATTTCGTCTGCGCTTTGGTGGTCTACTCCTCATCTCAACGATGAACTTATCCTCTGCCACGGCGTGGCAATACCGTGCAACGAGCCCATAAACCCTGGCCAGAGTCTCTGGGGCGAGACTTCGTAGGCCGCATCATGTAGCAGCCCAGCCATTCTTTCAGGCGTAACCTTTGATGTGCACCATCACAAGAGGTGGGCCGATAAAGGTCTCCGGCAGAGGCGGCGATACCCGTTGACAGGCATCTAAGGGAATGTTCAGGCAAACCTCCTCGTCATCAGACTGGCAATATGACCATGCGCGGTTGATGAGCCGGAATAGAAATGCCATCAGTGCATCATTCCTGGAAATGTCATGCCTCTCTGTGACGTCTTGCCCTGCTATTCTTTGCAGATTGAAACTTGACCCATTGCTGTACAAAAGTCATCATGGACTGGGCATCCGCACCTTGGTGTGCAATCTTGACGGCAATTCCATAACGGCCGCATGAAAACAAGTTGATCCTCACCGTCATGCATGGCAGACTTTTGAAGTCTTTGAGATTGAAAAGTGCCACTTTGGTCTGAGACTGAAAACCTCTCGTTCTATTGCCATCGGATAGTTGTCAGTGTTCAAAGCACCCATATTTCCAGCAGTAAATATGTCCTAGCTATTTCTCAGATTTGTGGATAATCTCCAATGGAATGCCATGATTGATTACTTTGATGTGACAAGGGCTCGATAGAGGGCTTGGAGTCAATAGCTCAATTAATCTAATAACAGTCTTTGGTATCAAAATTCCTTGGTTTTCCTTGAGGCCGCATTGACCGGAGACGTGTTTAAATACAAGAAGTCGGTAAGGGACTTTGCCTTAGGTCCCGTGATCATAGCCCTTGTGTAACCAAGGCCATTTCCGTGTGACAATATCACCCAGTGGCAAAGAGTATTTACCAGAACCTCTCTCACTAAAGCTCAAGGTCATATGCTCTATAAACTTTATATCTGCTTCACCGTTGTTCTTCACGTACCTATCCGGAAAGTTCTCTTCCACGTACTTTCCCGCAGCCACTAAATTTTCATCTATTAGACATTTCTACATTTCTACTTTCTTTATGGACTTGGGATTCCACAGAGAATATACATGTCCTTTGTCTCCGTTGTAGTCTCCATGGGAGTAACTGAATTGTTTCGAATGTATTCCGAGACGGTCCTCGTCCTAGTATATTACTTTGACAGGCTGATTGTTGTACTTCGAGATAATATATGGATACGAAAAAAAGTTAAAAAGTAGGGGACTGTCCTCCACCATTTGGCCTAGCGTTGTAATCCAGCATGAGTGGGCCTCTTTCGGAATCTCACTCTCATTTCTGGTTTCCACCACATCACAAACACGCGGCTATTAGTAACAAAATCCGAATCGGTATTTAGAAGTTCCAGGTCGTATGTCCAGAGGATTTTGGCGAGTAGTAAGTTGATCTCCATGTAGGCAAAGCTATTACTGTTTAGTAACCTTGTCCAGATATTAAAAATAATCTAAGAAGGAACAGGATAAGACAAAATCCACGGGGGGAACATAGCACTTACTTTCTGCCAAGACATCCTCTTGGGCCTAAAGAGAACGGCTGACTTGCTTCCTTGATATCCGGCCCGTCTGTATTTAGCCAGCGTTCCGGTCTGAATTCCATAGGCTGAGGAAAGTATTGTGGATCGTGAGTAACAGCCCACGCACTAGTATATATTTCCGTCTAGTTGTATTTATTAGCAGACTTCTTTTTATTTTTACCCTGCTCATTGCTAATAGGTACAAGAGGATAGTTTCATACCCCTTGTGGAATGTGTTGGTCGTGAATTTGAAAGCCAGGCGAGATGCGTGGGAACCCTTGGGAGCCAGGCGGAAAGAGTCTTAGCCCTTCGTGAATAACGGCTTGTAAATAGGGCAGTTTCTGAGTCGACAGAGCATTGATATCTGTATAGGACTGAAATCTGTCACAAATCTCCTACGAGACTCGTTTCATAATAACCGGATTCTTGAGAAGAAAATACGTCTTCCCTGCTAGGAATGTGGAAACCGTTTCTCCGCCCGCGATACTGTTTATCAATGTTAGAAGCAACCAAGAAGATGCATTCTCGCTTGCAATTTTATAACATGCACTGGAATCTATTTTTTTGTTTAGACTTACGCCAGAGTTGATACGTGAGCGGTCATTTCCTCTTTGTCTACCTCTCCCTGTTGTACCTTGTCTACTAGCACACTAATGAAGTCTTTACGTGTAGATTTCGTTGCTAATATTCTTATAAAGCTTCAGCTTTTATTCCCTACCTTGGATGTTTCTCAACCCTGCCTGGATGAGTCGGCTTGTTGCAGCGTCCATGAAACATCAGAAGTATACCATTGATTTGACTAACAAGTATGTATCGAATGCAACCGATTAATTCACCATTGCCATACCCACCGTTCCCACAGCACTTCTGGTCATCTCTCGCCTCCGCTGACGTTTAGATAGACGAATTGATGAGACGACTAGTCGAAAAGATTTCATGAGTTACCTCCTCTCGGGCCGCACCAGGGTCTCTGACATCCAGCTGGCCGCCCACGCCTCCGACTTTGTGTAAATTGACAGCATTCTTTCTAGACGAAGTGACATTGACCAGTAACTTGACAATATGGCATAATAGAATAGCTGGAAGTGAGACTACCGCTACTACCCTTGCCGTGGTTTTCTACTATCTATGTAATAATGCCTCGGTAAAACAGCAGCTTGAGGAGGAGATCCTCTCGGCATTTCCCGCATATAAAGACATCAACGCCACATCAGTCGCCAAACTCAAATATTTGCACGCAGTATGCCTTGAGGTACTCCGAATATTCCCTCCGCTACCTCTTGGTTTGCCCCGAGAAGTGCCGCATCCCGGTAAGGTGGTCGGTGGGTTCTATGTCCCCGGAAGAGTAAGTTCCTTCTCCAGCATGATGAACGCAAAGACGCTTTATCCTAGAGCAAAGTCTACTAAGCAAAATGAAACAGACCATCGTGTCTACAAATCATTACGCGGCGAGCATGGGCACGGACAATTTCGATAAACCAGAGGCTTTCATGCCTCGCAGGTGGTTAACGGGCGAGCCGACTGACATTCTCGAGGCTAGCAAACCATTTTCTTGTGGCCCTAGGAGTTGCCTCGGACGAGGGTAACTTTTTATATAAGACCCAAGAGCCTAGCGACGAAGCACTAGTTAACGATGACGTGGCAAATTAGGCTGGCATGGTTAGAAATGAACCTTACAATTTGCAGGCTCATTTATAAGAATGCCTTTGTCCTGCTAAACGAAAACTTGGACTGGAACAGAGAATCAAAGATGCATCTGCTGTGGCAAAAGCCAAAGTTGTTAATGGAGCTGACTAAACGGTAAACCAAGAAAAAGGTCTCTACTGACGCAGTGATGGGATGTTAGGAAGATCTAGTTGTAAGGTACATTGGGCATTCGTGCGCAAGAATTTTCTGGTCCAAGTTATATTATTGTTGCAAACAGAAGTTGGAACCGAATGAGACATATGGACCACCAGACACAACTCATTTTGTGCAGCTATGTATGTGTTGCAGGCTAGTCACCAATATATTCAATTCGTGAATAGACTAGGTGCCCCGGAACATCTACCTGTCCAACCGACTCAAAGTAAGAAGAGCTACTACTACAAAATGGGGTTCCGTGCAGCCGCCTGTAGGGTTCTTCCTCTTTAGAAAACTTGAATAAAAATTGTTATTGCCTGTTGTGCGGGGCAAACCAAACTGGCCAAGATAAAAAGTTATGAGTACAGAGAGTTCGACATTAAAGAATCAAATAAGATGAGTTACATATAAGTCCAGCCACTTAGGGTGAGGGCTAGCTCTCAATACAAGGACCAGTCCATTGTTCAATTTATACATCCCAAGAAATCTGCTCAGCCTGTTCCTGCATGGACGATGTTCAAAACGGAACCAAGACTCTATTTTTTGATAGCATACGTCCTTCGGAACATTTCATCAATACCCTCCAAATAGTATGTGTCAGCAGCAAAGTTGGATATGTCACCGACCGGGACGAAGTCTTTGGCGCCATAGGCTTTTTCTCTTAGTGCGCAAGCCTGCGAAAACCATTCAGCAATTGAACATTCTCAAAGAAACTATCGTAGGGACTTACCGCATCGAACTCATCCGGTGTGGCAATGTGGCGCTGATCCAGCCTGCGCATGAGATCGATCTTTTGCACCATCTGGCTAAGGTCGCCCGTAACCTTGATACCGAAGAGAGTGCTTGCAATGCCACTTCCATAACTGAACAGCCCAATCGTCTTGCCAATAGTATCCTTGACATCGATGTTACTTATCAAGCTGATGAGAGAGCAGTACAAGCTCGCTGTATACATGTTGCCGCACCTGCTAGGTGCGACGATGCACGGCTCAACCCGGGCAACGTATCGCTTCTCACTTAGGGCCACAAATGTCTTCTCTAGCTCTTTGCTATGCAGGGATTCGTCATAAGTCAAGTTGCGTAGCTCGGCCGATACCGAACTCCAGATGCTATCGTCATTGGAATGAAGTGCATCGTTATAAAGTAACCGGCCGTACGATTTGCTCACCAACTTGCAGTTTGGTGTATGAAAGGCCATGTAGTCAAAGAGGTCAAGCAAGTGTTTAGCATCGTCCTTGGGACCATGTCCATTAGCAAGAATCTTGGCCTTGTCTCTCCGCTGCTTCAGGTCTCTATAACATCCATCGAGGGCAGAGAGGTAACACCTAATGGACTCGTGTCCATTGACCAAGGGATATTCAGACTTTGGATTCGGTTTATAAAAGTCATAGCCATGCGTCATGAATATTCCGCGAAGAGATGGTTCCAGGGAAAGAGGCGCATTTGGGCCAACGAGAATGGCGACACAGCCGGCGCCACCGGTCGGGCGGGAAGAAGGCTGATCATAAACCGCAATATCCGATGCGACAACGATGGCATCCCGACCATCCCAGGCACGAGACTCTACCCAGTTGACAGCATTGAACAAGGCATTAGTTCCACCGTAGCATGCGTTGATAGTGTCAGCACCCTCAAGGCTAGTGTTGCCGCTAGGTTCAAACAACTGAGTCAAGACAGTCTTGACGGATTTCGCTTTATCAATTAGGGACTCGGTGCCAACTTCGAGCCGGCCGATGGACTTTGGGTCTATGTCGTACTTGCGAAGAAGTGAGGCCACTGCCGTTAAAGCAAGGGAGCAGACGTCTGTATCTCGTCAGTTGGCACACACGAGGATACTCTGGAATACCAACTCACCTTCCCTGTCGGTGCAAAAGTTCATCGACTTGAGGCCAAGGCCGATAGTGTATTTGCCAGCTGAGACACCCTGGGCTCGCTCAAAGAGTGTTTGGTCGAGACACTTGTTTGTCCATGAGTTATCGGTTTCGCTTCGCCACTATGGATAAAGGTATGCTCGTATAGACGTACCTGGCTGGGAATGTAAATCTCCATGGCTTTAATGCCAACATTTTCAGGGTACGCCATTTTGGCCATGTGTCGTGTCTGGGTAGGAAGTTTCGGCTGTCAAGATGTACCAATGTTCGGAGACAAATATGGGAAAATAGTGGTGGGATGTGTCCGGAGTATGGCCAGGCGAGACACGGGACCTCCGGTTTGCCCTGATATGCATCCAGGGGTTCCAAAATTATCTGCAAAATTTACCCAAGTCGGCTAGGCTCCGCACAATTTCCTGTAAGCCCCCAACTCCCATCATAGATTGATCCATGGCCGGCTTGAATCTCACATCGGGAAACCAACCCCTTTTGGAAGCCCTCCATAAAGCCTCCCATTTGGCAGTCCAACTTGACTGCTTACGGTCGCCGAAGCCAAGGACGCCAGGCAGTGACACTCTGGGGGGTGGGCATGGCTGACCACCCGAGTACTGGACATTTAAATGACAGCAACCTATGCTGCAATGCGACGCCAGTAACTGCATCTTCACTCCGCCTGGTATTTCGTTTCTACTTTTGGGTCATATTAGGTTGCTGTTAAACATGGCAGCCGTAACCGTCCAGCCAAACGGCCATTCCAACCTGTCTTTGGCTACAAATGGTGTCAAGCATACAGAATACATCAACGAGAGCCACCCCAAGGCTGTTGCTGTGGTTAACGGCAGCTCTAAATCAACCACAGGTCCCGTGCTACCTGTGTACAAGACCTTGTTCAGCGCCTGGCCACGAAACTCGGCGCGAACGATACCTCCATCATCATGGGCAGCAGACTGTCACCATTTAGTTGATCACGTCACTCAAGATGTGGATGCATGGTTTTTAGAGAATTGGCCATTTCCAAATGACAAGGCTCGACAGGCGTTTGTAAACGCAGGGTTTTCCCGCGTTACCTGCCTGTATTACCCGCTGGCTAAAGATGATCGCATTCACTTTGCCTGTCGCCTTCTCACTATATTGTTCCTAATCGACGGTACTTCTTTGACTCACCCTTGCAGCAGAATGAGTGGTTTTTCTTTTCGGGAACCAGCGCTGACATCGTTTTCCCGATTGTAGACCAGCTTGAACATATGTCATTTGACGAGGGCAAGGCATACAACGAGAAACTCATGCCATTGGCTCGGGGAGATGCATTGCCAAACAGTAAGTTTGAAAACCCCCAAAAAGGGAATATAAAGTGCTATAACATAGTGTTAACAATGCTCCAAAGGAGCAGTCCCGGTGGAGTACATGTTTTACGACTTATGGGAGAGCATGCGAGCCCATCACAGACAGTTGGCAGATGATATCCTTGAGCCGACCTTTGTATTTATGCGAGCCCAGACAGACAAGACCAGAAAGGAAATTACAGAAATCGGCCACTACCTCGAGTATCGGGAGAAAGACGTTGGGAAAGCGTGAGTTACGACGACCAGATCAAATTTCTTCCACTTTGGTGCCTGCTCGGTATTAGGAAGCATATAGGCTAACATTCCACTTAGCTTGTTATCTGCGCTGATGCGTTTCGTAATGGACTTGCGTTTGACTCCTTCAGAATTACAAGAAGTCAAACCAGCAGAAACAAATTGTGCAAAGCATCTTTCTATTGTTAATGACATTTACAGCTGGGAAAAGGAGCTCAAGCAGTCAAAAGTCAGTTCCGAGGAAGGATCATACCTCTGCTCGGCTGTGAAAGTTCTTGCAGACAGCACAGCGCTGGATATTGAGGCCAGTAAGGCATGCTTGTGGACCATGGTGCGGGAGTGGGAGCGAAGACATGATATCCTTAGCTCAGAGCTGCACATATCACCTCCATACACTGAGACGAAGATGCTATACCTGAAGGGCCTAGAATATCAAATGAGCGGGAACGAGCTTTGGAGCAGAACAACGTCGAGATATCTTGTATGATAGTAGGAATAGTGACCGTCCGCAACATCCTCAAAAACAATAAATGACGGTCCTGTAGTAACTTTGGTTGTCGAGGAAGCCGCTTTGCTAACTTCAACTGTACCTAATTCCTAAATCTCTCCGTGGAATTCCAAGCTCTGTGCAAATTCTTAAATAGTTTCTTTCGCTGCGAAATTCGCACATAAAATAGTTCGCCTGTACTTAGCTGTAATAAGCCGTCGGCTGAGCCGTCGAGGTGCACTAGGCAGATGCCGAAGCCAAAACGTGACCAAATGAATGCCCCATAACCAGCCTTTGAGTATCGACTATGGAATAGATACTGAGCTACTCAAGAACCTCGAAGTTCCTCTGGTCTCCAGTACAATTAATTTTTTGCTTTGCAAGACGCCCCTTGGATAGTAGCTGCGATTACATTGCACAAGTGACTTGGTTCGTATGTCCATAAAAAGTTAAGCAATTTGAACTAATCGGACATGCAGGACTCAGCACAGAATTCTATCTAGAATATCTATGCCTAATTTAGGTGCAGAGACTTTTCACTGAAGTCAGACGAGTAGCCGTCTGGTTGAATGTTGAAAGTATAGTCACTATATTTTTAGTTGTTCTACAACTAGAGCAGCTGAGAGAAGCTGAATGCGTTGGCAAGTGAGAACGAATCCACCAGATGTCCACAAAAACTTCACGCCTGCGCATGAGTTCATGCTTTTTCAGCAATTGTCAGAGGCAATGTTACACGGAAATGGCTGGTTACACAAGGGCTACGGTCACGGGATTAGGGCAGAAGGTCCTCACCGACTTCTTGTATGAATAGACATCTTCGGTCCCTCAAGGCCTCGAGGAAAACCAAGGACCTTTGATACCAAAGACTGTTATTAGATGAATTGAGTAAATGCTCCAAGCCTCTAGCCCTTGTCACAGGCAATCACTCGGTGCTTCAGCTACAGTTGGGCCTACCACAATGTTTCGGCCATGCTAGTCCTTCCCGTCTGTATTAGTACACTGAATGCGCCTCGATTCTTCAAGGTGGAATTTGTTTGCAAGTTGCCAAGACAAACCATATGGTAAAAGTACAAGTACCAAACGGCCTGTGTGTGGCAAAGTGCCCATAGCCTGCGTTACTTGGCCAGATGTGACATGTTTGGCTCCTGCAGTACAAGAGCAGAAATGCGAGGAATGCATATCCCAAAATGGTATACGGTCAGCACTGCTTCATTTCCGCACTCTCGAGTTCATGCGCAAGAATTGCGGTTTACGGCGCTCCAGCATATCTGTTGCGAGTGTCTCCATAAGGGATTACTCCAAATGGAAAGCCGGTTTATTCCTGCTTCCTGAAAGAGTCGAGTACGATTTTCGGCAATTTCGGAATTACCAAAATCATACAGTGGCCTGAGTAGCCACCGTAAATCATGGCTGTATTGGATTGACTGCATGCTGGACGATGGAGATTAGCTGCTGCATCTGGAGGATTTCGTGAGTCGGCAGATGCTCTGAATGAGTGGAGAAGACCGATCCTTGCATTGAGTGATTCGAAGACGGGCTCCCGTGACCCGATCTGTGACAAGTCCTACAGGCCAGATAATATTAATACAGCCGTTGGCCGAGACCAAAATAGATACAGGCTGTAACTGTTCCTCCGGGTGGTTAGTCGACTTGGAACAACATGTTCATGTTGGTCATATCTAAATCCTTAACAACATTGTCAAAGAGCAGGTGGCCCTGATGACGGTTCTGGAACAAGTTCGTGGCATGAGCCACTTTGCGCAGTGGGACGAGAAGCTTCTTTATGAACAGCAACATAGTATTCTTACCTCATTGATGGCTGCTATCTTGATATACCGCCTTCTTTGGGTATAAAAAGTCAACTCTGCTGAGCCCAAACTGATCAAACCACTCATTCCTATAGTCGGTCATGCACTCAGCATTTACAAGCATGGATCGCGACATTTTACTTGGATGGCGTAAGTGAGACTCTCTTGAAAACGTCGCCTTATACATGGTCTAATTCCTCAAACGTTTTACACAGCCAAAAAACGGGCCTGCCTATATACCAGATCCCCGTACCGGCTGGTAAGATCATTATCGCAACAGATGAGAGACTAATTCCTGTAGACACGAGTTCGTCTTCATGGAGCAGCCAGGTGCCCCGTCCGGTTTCGTGTCACTGCACTCGTTACTGCTGGAGTCAAAGATGCAGTGCGTACTTGCACCAACCTGATAATGCGAGTTACCGCTCATATCAGCAGACTCTGGCGCCTTTCGGAGTGTTACATCCTGTAGAAATGACAACCCAGCGACGTCCATGTCATTCCAATCCCCCAGATCTGGCGGCGTGGTTATGCATACATTGTCACTTGCGGTTACGCTCAAGCTAGGACCATATTCTGGGAGTTCAGTCGTACCCAAATTATCCCATGTCCGGGCGTCCATGCTGGATGGGGAGGCACTGTCTGTTTGTAGAGGTGCATTGGGGCGGGCATCCTGCCATTCCCCCGGGCTTGGATTCTGATGACCGGGGCTTGGTGGCTGTAACCCATGAGGTGGTTCCCTTGCTGTAGACTGTGGAGTTCCTAGTTGTATGACGGAGTTTGCCTGCTTGTCGGGAACAAAACGTCTCTCGGCGGTTTTCTGTGACTTCCGAACTCCAGATGTTTGCTGTTTCGGTTTGTACGGTGTCTGCCATGATCTTGATTCCTTGTCACCAGTACTCTGGTCCGCCGGGTCGACCATAATAAATCTCGAGCCGGTTCTGCGGTTGCCATTGGTGAGTCCACCTGAAACCTGGGTATTCCGGCGTCCAGAGCTGGGTGAGAAGGTGCATTCCTTGCCGAGGCCAGCGCATCGATCACAACTGGACCTATCGCCGCTGCATTTAACCTACAAACTTTCGGGTGAAACATAGTCAGCCCTCAAGTCTTGCGAGTTGAATGTTAACCTTTATAGAATCGGGATCCGTTCTAGGGCAGTAACGAAGCCAGTTTTCCAATACCTTGTAGTTCCGACACCGACCGCAGGCAAAGCGGCGTTGCGCTGGGTGTGGCTTGGCACGTTGATCATTAGCAGACCAGACGTCGATCGCGGAACTCATCGTGAACCGGTTGCATGAGCGCGGAGGAGGAAAGGGGTATCTAGGGGGTAAAGACACATATGACAGCAACGACCATCCGAAGATACTAATATGGGAAAAGGCAGAGCAAAAATTATTGTCATGTCCTAATTAGGATATGGCCGAACCAACAGCTTTTTTAACCCTGCCAATTTAGATTAGAAACTAGGAGTTTTCCACTGTTTCTATACCTAGTCCTCTTAAGTTAAAGTATTATTATTATGTACTATAACTACATTCTAGTGTATGCTAATTTTGATCTAGTTATAAACTAAGTGAATTCCTTACGATGAAGGACATCGCCATGATGCAAATTGTGCTGCTTTTTTAGCCTGCCGACGTTTAAGCCGCTTCTCGTGCTTCACAACCACAAAGCTCCGTCTTGCCGTGCCGTGTGCACCGACGTGGAGCGGTGCGGCTCATGGGATCTGTCGGCCGTTGCGCATTTTGAGTTGATACTGCCAGCAGGGTTTCATCGCATTAGTCCCTCGGGGCATATTAGTCAAAACGGTTCGCCATCGGAGCATGGCCAGTCGGTCATACGGTCGGTTATAAGGTTGCCGCATTGCCTGGCGGCTCGATGCAAAAATGATGCCATATTATTATATGCAAGGGGAGGGGTGGCATATGGAATGAGTCTTTTCCTTCGTTTGCTCCGATCTTCCTCGCCAGAAACTGCTCTTTGCGCTCGCGACCAGCGTTTCTATTCTCTATTTCTCCGCTGCGACTAGTTTTTACCCCATTTAGCAGGTGGAAAAGAGGGAAAGTCTAAAAATGGCAGGACACAACTTTGGTTATCTCAGTTGTTAACGGTGCCTTTTGCAGATGATCAGATGTATTGCCGATAGTCTGTCCCATTAATCAGTAATACAGTGACAGTGAGTTACGGCGTTCCGGTACCCCTTGCCAATGGAGGTAGAGCTGTGGAATTCATCTAAGCTTGCCGCTGAATAGCCAACGATGTACTGTTTTACAGAAGAGAACCTTGTCCCCAACGTGGCTTTTAAATAAGAATAAAATCGTTCACTTTGACAACAAACGTGTTTGTATATATTGTATTCCTGTAATAGGCGTGTTACCTACTCACACTATGTTTCCTCCACGTCCTGTTCGCCAAGTTGGTAGCCTCGGCCCTAATGTCCCTACTGTTGGGTTTGGAGCCATGGGAATGAGTGTTGGTTATGGCCAGACCAAGTAAGTGAGCTCTGATCAATGCGCCGTGTGAACCCTGAGCTAATCTCAAAAGATCCAACGAGGAGAAACTGAAGCTTCTGGATCGTGCTTGGGAACCAGGCTGCACCAACTGGGACACTGCAGACATTTACGGAGATTCCGAAGACACCATTGGCAACTGGTTCCGTCTTCATCCGGAACGCCGCAAAGACATCTTTCTTGCCACAAAATTCGGTCTCTGCCCTCGCAACAACAGCATAACCGTAGATTCCAGCCCTGAATACTGCCACGAAGCCGTTGAGAAAAGCCTCAGTCGCCTGGGAGTGGACCAGATTGACCTGTTTTATCTGCATCGCGCGGATCCAATGGTCCCTATCGAGAAAACAACTGCCGCGATGAAGCAGCTGGTTGAGTAAGTTTCCAAGACGGTTGGAACAAGACGAGGTGACAGAATTTGCTCACAAATGTCAGGCAAGGCAAAGTAAGGCACATTGGCTTGTCCGAAGTGTCGTCAGGCGCGCTGCGTAGGGCCCACGCAATACATCCCATTTCTGCCGTACAGGTGGAATATAACCCGCTGACCCTGGACATTGAAGGGCCCAACGGTACCTATTTAATGAAAACCTGCAAGGAACTTGGCGTGGCAATATTCGCTTATGCACCTCTCGGTCGTGGCTTGTTGAGTGGTCGTTACCGCTCCTTGGGTGACCTCGACTTTGACGATAGTCGACGTACTCTGGGGCGCTTTCAAGAGCAAAGTCTTTACAAAAACCTGAGACTTATTGACAGGCTCTCTGAGGTTGCCCATCGGAAAGGGTGCACTCCATCTCAGTTAATACTAGCTTGGTTAATCCGCCAAAGCGAGAACATCTTCGTCATCCCTGGCACCAAAAGCGTAAAATATTTAGAGGAGAACTTTGCTGCAGCGGGACTTACAGTGACAGATGCTGAACAGCAGGAGATTAGAGAGTTGACCGACAGCATAGAAGTTGAAGGAGACAGGAATGCCACGTTTGGCCAATTTGTCACGACCGTTCCGGTCTAGCAGTAACTAATCAGAAGCGGCTTGGCTTGTTACGGCCAACAGCCTGGCATAATGCACAACCTACTCGATTCTCTTCCGCATATATTTTCGAGTCTCCCACTGTGACAAGGGTACGATAGAAGGCTCGGAGTAAAAGACGTCAGAGGTCCTTGGTGTTCCAAGAGAAAAAGGGGGACAAGTGACAACTGTATATACATAAAGGTAACGTTTATGCCTAGGGCTCTTGCTCGGGCACATGTTTGATCTGTGTAAATAACAGGTACTTTGTCGGCGAAGGCCCTTTTGTTGGGCTTCACGATCTGTTGGGCCTTCTCCGTGTAAGGCGTGTAGAATCGAAAACCATCTCAAGCGACTGTTTCAGGACTAAAGCTACAATATTTATGCTTGAAAGGCGACTTTTTCTATCCTACTACCGACAAACAAAACTATTTGCCTTTGTCGAGTCTCCACCATTGAAATGTGCTTGCTGAGGATACGGGCATAGCAGCCTATGAAACTCCTTGCCTTGGGCGTTTTTAAACTGAATTTTCACTGTCTCTGGAGCCTTACCCTGCTCAACCCATGCGCGGAGCTGGGAAAATCCCGTCATTGGCGAGGCATGGTTCCCTCCAGCGCAGTGCCCATATCCTGGAATGTGAAAGTAGCGATAAAAATCGCGTGCAGCTGGTGCATGTCTTAACACTGAGTCATAATATTGGTCAGTGCCCTTGTACGGGATTAATTGATCGTTCTGCTCTTGTGTCAGTGATTAGAGAAATTAGGAATACTTTGTAGAAACTTGTCGTACCAAACCGTGGAAGCTGAGAATCTTGCCGCCTCTGTTACGAAAGGCAGACAGGTCCGGATCCCTAGTGCCTAAAACAGTCGAGTATTCTAACACTGAAGTGTGAAATAGTCTCTCAAAATCCGTTCGCGTTACCTCCTTGACGTCAAAGGCCGGATTCTTCTCCACGAACAACTGCAACCACTGCGTTCCTAGCAATGATGGAACACCCACGCACTTTCCTTGGCTACATTGAGTCGTTGCAACGCCCGCACCGAAAGCCTCTTGAAAACTCGATCCATAACCAATACCATACCAAAGGAAGTTGCCGTCAGATCCTCGCGGGCCAGACCAAGTCGCATTAGCTACGACTGCAGCGGCTCGGCTGAGCTTGATGGAGCGTCCCAGTTCAGAACACTCGAGCTCTGTACCTACGTAGCTAAACGAGTCAAACGAGGCTTCGCATTTGTCCATGTGTGATATGACTCCGTCGACGACACCATCAAGACCGTCACAAGCCCCCACAGCGGCTTCTGCTAGATAGCTCAACTCACATGGAGCTGGATACTCCCCCAGCTCGTTCATAATTACCTGTGGCCAGAAGAAACCAGGCACCAGCTCCCCCCAGTTGAGAGCTGGGGCCGTGGCAACAATACCATCATAAGCGCTGGGATATCTCTGGGCGAGCATGAGGCCTTGTCTTCCTCCTTGCGAGCAGCCACTCCAGTATGAATACTCTGGTGCTTTTCCATAAAACTTCTTAATAACAGACTTGGCAATAATCGACTGAGCACATAGGTCAACGCTTGGCCCCTCCTTTTCTTTTGCTTCAACTTGCGCGAATGGGAAACCCCCACGTACCTCATCATGAAGAGACCGAGAGGCGAGATTATGAAGCTTGTATAGGTTCACGTTTCCGGGGCTTAATAGTGCCCAATCGTGTGCCAAAACTGATTCTCCTAGGCCCGCGTCCGTAGTGACAGTCGCAAATCCTTGGCCCAGTGCTGCGGCCATGGCCAATTCAGAGTATACGAAGCGGCCCGCGGCGTATCCGCCTCCGCCCACGGCAAGGAGGCGCTGGTTCCAGTCGCCGATTGGAAGCCATGTTTCGACATTGATAACATCTCCTTGCCCAGGATGCGTATAAGTCACCGTAACATTGCAGAATGTTGCGTTCTTCACCTCAATGGTTGGATGGTGGACCGTCTCTCGGTGTGGTGCCGTTTTCGTGTAGTTGGTGACGATGTTAGCAGCGATGGAGATGACCTGCGAGCCGAATAGATCAATGTGTGTGAATGTTGACGGGCTACACGACTGTAATGCGCCGATACCTGCGTCTAACCGTGAATTAGTCAGAAGTGGTCTCTCCTACACCTCACTTAACAGAATGGGAGAGTCCAGACAACCAACCATTCAACCAATTGCTAATAACAGCAGGAAACTCCATAATCACGGACCGTCAGTGCTTTTACTCTTATGGATGTCCAGGGCCGTTCGCGAGTACGGGAGTCGTGCGCCACGCATGAAACAAGCCCGGCAAGCCTCTATCCAATGGAACACTTGGCAAATATAAGTGCACGTGTGGTGGTTCAAGTTTATCAGGAGCTCCCGACTCGACAGGGTTACGAGAGGCGATTCAAAGATCGTATTGCGGGGCCTTTGATGATTGAGGAGGATCGGTTCGGGGACCTTGCCTTTATACGTTAGCTCCGCCAAGAACCGAAGCCGGGAGCTAGTACAGTAGTTGGCTCGGGCGGGGTAAGGTGGATCCTCATGTCTCGTCTGGTTGCATCTCTTGATTGGTGCAACGGACTGCAGAACAGGCAAAAGACCTCATTTAGAACCTCGCCTTTTTTTATTAAGCTTCATTGAATGAATAGCAGCCTGCCCTTACTAATTGATTTTTTTTTTGTAACAGCTTTCCTCTACTGGGCCCGCCCGAAACCTTTCCTGTGATGCCAGCCTCCAAGACATCTATGCCTTTGCATTCCACGCGACGCCTTTGCGCAGCTTAGTATATCTGACATAACAGAAAATGAAGCAATTAGCAAACACCATGACACCACCGAAAATCTGCAGAGGAATCAAGTTTCTATGCTTAATAAGTGCTCCAGCGATCGGGTTCCCAATTAAAAGTCCAACACTTGAGATGCCAAAATTCATTCCTACCCAAGTGCGCCCTTTACTGACATGGGGTGCGATACCCGCGAGCATCGCACCAAGCAAAGTCACATAGGCACCAGACAAAAACCCGTAAAATACACAAAAAATAACGATTCCAGCGGTACTATTAACGCTTATCCGTGAATACTGGAGGAGGCCGGTGCCAGATGCCTCAGGAATCATCAGATTAAGAGCACCTACTGTTACACGGAAAAGGCCCAACAGATCGTGAAGCCCAACAAAGGGGCTGCACACCGATATAGGACTTGTTGGTTACACGGCCAGAACACGTGCCCGGGCAAGGACCCTAGGCCCGGGCGTTCCTTTTATGTATATAAGGCGGTCACTCTTCTCTTCCTTTCTCGTAGCAACTCAGGACCTTTGATATCCTACGAGATTATTATTGAATTGAGCCCTATTGCTCCAAGCCTTCATAATTGAACCCTTGTCACACCTACTCTATCAGCAATGGGGCCGACTATCGCCCTTCCCAGGATGCTCGCTGCATTCAAGATGGACAACAGATAAAAAAGATAGTTGTCCATTGATGCCTAGTTCCTTCTGGCTATACAAAGTCACGTAAAAAACGGGCACATATAGCCCCATCAGGTGGAGTAACCTGGCAAGAGTGATACCAGCAAATTCTGGGTTGCGAAATGCCGACATGCCGACAGTAGCTCTAGCTCGTGCTGCTGGGGGAACGCGGGGCCTGATAAGGATGAGGCAGTCTGGTCTGATGTCTCCGCCACGGGCTCAGTTAGCTGCCAGTGATTGACTGAGGGATTCAATGTTGAGGCCTGGGCTTATGGCGGAATTGGCCACGATTTTGTGAGTTGAGGTTGCGAGTCACTCCCGATACGGGACCCAGAGGGGTGGCCAAATAAACACATACTCCCATGTTCCTTGAATTATTCATCTCCAAGGAGCCTGCGTTGCTGGGTCGTGCCAAATGTGGTACAGGGTAAGCATTCTAAAAATGAATGCCGGTAAGCAGCAGAAAAAGAATTACTACACCAGCTTGTTGCATATTTAATATCGTCACCAAAGGGCCATGGACTGCTTGCTACTTCTGCCATGGAGCTTCCCAGCTCGTAATCGTGGTCTTGGCTAATGAGCTTGCGAAAGCGAAAAAGATGGACGGATAGATTATCGCTTGTATTACACAGGTCTTGTAAATAATCCCCTCTCTTTACTTGTGTATTGTGCGATTGAGTTGAACTCTCACCCGAGAACTACATCTTACCTGTTCATCATGGCCAAGTGCGATTTAACAGTACACAAAAAGTCATAGATTTCTTACAGCAGGCCCAGAATCATGCAGACGGCATGATTCCATACCAGCACGCTAGTTTGCAAGCTTTGCGGGAGCTGGGTCCGGATGTGCAAGCCGCTTTGAGTCTGAAAAGCCTTTTTGTAGTCCAGCATTGTTTGCAAAACCTTGATGTGGATTTTTTCCTCGATGAGGTAGAGGGATTTGGAGACTTGATGACAGGGTATTTTGACTACCCCCTGGTGATGGAGTGCATCCTCAGTTCTACGACGGAAGGACCTGGTCAAAATGACATCCAGATCACCATGGATGCAAGATTTGATGCAGTTGTCATCTCAAAGAAGCAGATGGTGGGACTTTGCAGACAATTTCGGCACGTTGTTGAACAACTCGACAATATTGACCAACTGGACACATTAGACGACATACGCCTCGCAAGTCGTGACGATGTTGATCAGGTAATTTCCTGGAACGCCTCGCAACCTTGGGAGTGCGTAGAAAAGACTGTCCATGATATTATTTCCGATCAGGTTCGCCTGAATCCCAATGCTGTTGCCATTACGGGTTGGGATGGTCAGATGTCTTACCTCGAGTTAGATGAGCACTCAACACGGGTTGCCAAGATTTTGGTACCAAAGTCCATTGGCCCTGAAACTATTGTTCCTCTGTGCTTTGAAAAGTCCAAATGGGCCGTTGTCGCGGCGCTTGCTGTCCTGAAGGCCGGGGGTGTCGTCACTCAGCTGGGTGTTTCACATCCTTTAAGTCGCAAGAAGAAAATTCTCGAAGACACCAAAGCAAGGCTTGTATTGGTACCATCCACCAATATCGGTGACCAGTTCACTGGCATAGTTCCAAGAATGGTCATCGATGAGCAATCCACGGCCCAGCTACTCGAATTTAATACACCCCTTCCAGAAATCAAGCCTAACGCAGCATACATATTATTCACTTCGGGAAGCACTGGGGGCGGTCAAAGGGCATTGTAGTTGAACACCAGAATCTTGCATCCAGTTCGTTCTCCCACGGCGGGCAATTCAAGATCAACCAGAGTACAAGAGTGTTGCAATTCGCAGCTTACACTTTCGACATAAGCTGCGCCGATATATTTATAACACTCAAGCGCGGCACTACAATCTGCATACCGTCCGAATATGAGTGTATAAACGACCTGACCAGCGCTGTTACAAAGTACCGGGCAGACTGGATGTTTGTCACGCCCACGGTCGCCCAGCTAATTGATCCGGAATCGGTACCTTCTTTGCGCACTCTCGTGTTGGGTGGCGAAGCTCCGACGGCCGAGAACGTCACGACGTGGGCTAACCGGCTGGATCTTATCTTCATCTGGGGACCTGCAGAGACTACTATCTACACTTCAGCTTATCGCAGGCCTGGCCCTGTCCAATATTTCTGGACGAGGCGTCCCTGAGCATTAACAACTGAAGCCACTACGAGGAAAGGACAAGCAGGCAGCTAGTGATCAAATTGCAACCATAAGACAGTTGCTGGAAGAACATCTCCCTGGTTATATGATCCCCACGGTCTGGATTTGTGCTGAGACGATGACTCTGACTGGACATGGCAAGATGGATGGGACGGCAGTTGCCAAATGGGCTGAAAATTTCGACCATGAGGCTTATCAAGACCTGCTACTAGACTCCAGCGAGTATGATACGAAAGTAGAGTCTGCGGTGGCTGCGTCAGGTCAGGCCACAGTTATTCGAACTCTGGCCAGCCAAGTCCTCGGCATTCCAGCCGTTCCCATGAACCGTTGCTTCTTTGGACTTGGTGGCGATTCAATTACTGCGATGCAGCTCTGAATCAAGGCAAGAGCAGCAGGTATCGACTTGAGCGTTAGAGATATCTTGAAGGCGAAACCCCCGTTTGGCATGGCCGAGGCTGCAACACCTATCAAGTCCGATTCTCCATTCCCGATTACGGAGATTGATGCCCCTCGAGCTGAAGTATTGGATACGCCATTCAGGCTGTCACCTATTCAAAACCTGTTCTTTGATACTGCTGGGCCACCTCCGGGATCTTCTACATCGCACTTTACTCAAACCATACTGCACAATGTCAACCGAAACATGGAGGCCCTGGGAATCCATGACGCCATTCATGCCATTATCAGCCGTCACTCAATGCTCTGTGCGAGATTCTCCCGCGGGATTCTGGGTGATTGAACGCAGAGTGTGACTGATAAGGTGGAGGAATCGTTTACTTTTCAGGCTGAGAGGATAGAGGACCGGAACAATCTGTACAAGATTCTGGCAGAGCGAAACTCTGCTTTCGATATAAGCCAAGGCCCTATATTCGCCGCCCACCTGTTTAACATCAATAATGGCAGTCAGGAACAGCTTCTCCTTCTCTCAGCCCATCACCTCGTAATTGACGTCGTTTCCTGGCTGGTAATTCTTGGTGACATGGAGGAATTCCTGATCAGCTCCAAGCCTGGCATACTGTCTTTGGAGAAACCTCTCCCCTTCCACACCTGGCTGCATTCACAACAAGAGCAGCCTGAAGAAAATTTGATGCAGGCTAACGGGCTCAATTCCTCCCTGAATGGCATGCAAGCACTTGATCTCACCTATTGGGGCATGACAGATCAGGCCAATAAGTACGGTAGCGAAGGAGAACTATCCTTTTCACTGGACGAGGAAGAAACTGCAAGGCTGTTACGTGGATATGGTAATAGGTCGACACCAGCTGCGGCTGAGTCTGTTGATATTATGGTAGCAACCCTGCTGCAAGCGTTTTCAGCTGTGTTCCCCGACCACGCAATACTCCCTACCGTGTTCTCTGAAGGCCATGGCCGCGAGTCTGCAGATAAGGATGTCGATCCTTCGGGAACAGTTGGCTGGTTCACCACTTTGACACCTCTGCACGTAGTGTTGGTCGATAATAATGTTGTGAACACGATACGGGAGGTACAGAAGGCCCGGTTACAGATGAAGCTCCTGGGGTCACGTCCCCGTGTTGATAAGGATAACTTTCACACGCTCAACCCAGATAGAGATTCTTTTCAACTTCCTTGGAAGCTTCCAACAACTCGAGTCGAAAGAGGGTCTCTTTTCAGATGCTCCACTGTTAGATAATGAGATCATCATTGACAACGGCCCTGAGCTGAACCGCCTTGCCCTATTTGATGTTTCCGCCATTGTCACGGGTGGGAGACTAAAGATGACATTCAAGTACAACAGGAGGATGCAACACCAGAATAGAATTTATGAATGGGTTACAACTATGCACTCCTTGCTAAAGGTCGCTGATGAAAGCTTGAGCAGCTTGAACACATCTGAATTGGAAAGCATATTCGCCAAGTCAATGAAGAAGGAGACAAAGGAACAGATGCTTGATAATTTGGGAGTTGATATGGCAAATGTACAAGAGATTGTACTATGCGCGCTTTTGCAGCAACACATGGTATTACTGATGGCTCAGCAGAGTGGACTGGGCATTTACGAGGTCGAGCTCGTTTTTCACATCACAGGAGACAATATCAATACGGCAAAGCTCGAATCAGCGTGGCAACAGGTAATCGACAGACACTCAATACTGCGTACAATTTTTTAACCTAGTGATTTACGGGCAGGCTTCCATGAATAGGTAGTGCTCGCACATTATACGGCCAATGTGCCCGTCATTACCTGTTACACGGTTGGCACACAACAAAGGGCGTTGGGCCAACAAAGGTTACACAACAACAAAGGCAACGGTCACGAGGCCCGAAGTCGGTCATAAGCAAGGGCTGTCTCAGGCACACAGCTTACCATCTTCACAAGTAATGATGGGGCTCACAAAGCATGCAAATTGGAGATGAGCCACGCTCTGAATGATGGCGTCTCTACAGCTCTCATACTTCGTGATGTGCAATAAGCGTACCAAGGACAGCTGAAAGAAGGCCCAGGACCTGCATTCAGCAGCTTTTTCTCTTGGCAAAACGCGCAAATAACAGCCAAGTCATCCGACTACTGGCAGAAGTTTGTACGCGGGATACAGGCGTCCCCAATGCCAGCCAAAAGAGCAGCTGCCAAGACACAAAGTATTTGATGTAGATATATGCGTCAACACTGTGAAAAGGATTCGAAATACTTGCCTCGAACACGGTGTCACCATGGCTACCTTCTTTCAGGTTGTCTGGGGCCTTGTCTTGTCTGCGCATACAGGACGGGACGATGCACTGTTTGGATATATGACGGCAAATCGCGACGGCCCCATCGAGGGCGTAGGCGATATAGTTGGTCCCCTCGTAAATATGATACTATGCCGAATTGACAGAAGCAAAGGCAGCCTCGCTGACATGTTGTCAAGAGCACAAGATGATTTTTTGGAGTCGCTTACACACCAGCATGGCTTAATTAGATTAGTTCTACCGGTATGGAGCTCGGTTATGAGCCTTCAATATCTTGATTCGCGAGTGGCACGAGTGGGCAATGATAACAGATTAAGGGATGGCGGGATTCAGTTGGAGCAATTCTGGGGACATGATCCGAATGAGTGGGACATCACTCTCGGCGTCCAAGTAAAATCTGGATCGAGTGGCCATGATGTAATCCACGCCTGTATTGGATATTGGTCCGGCAGTATAAGCCAGGAAGAAGCCCAGAAGATGAGACAGAGCTTTGGGGAAGTAATGGAGAAACTGATTATTGGCACCCGGTAGCTACGAGGTAATAAGTGAAAAGGATGACATTATTCTTTTGTTTAAAGCGAGAAGCTAGCTTCAATAATATATGCAGCTAGAGTAAAAGCTACAAGTTATTTTATATCTATTCGCCAAGGTCGCCGAGCTCCTCATCATGCAAGCGCTCGTCTTGGTGACAGGATTCGGTTAGTGGGATAGTGATAGGCGTACGCAATCTTGCAGACATCCCCATGTCTGAATCGGTCTGCAGGTCTGTCAACATAAAGGCAGCCAGTCCAGCCGCCAAATCACCGATAGCACTCGCGGTGGTGATGCATAGCTCGGGTTGAGTAGGGTGTAGAGCTGCCACGCCGGTGCATGTAACAACAAGATAGCCTGTTACCCTTGCAAGTCCGCAAGGAACCTCGACTCTGGTGGCAGAATTAGCAGGTGATTGATCCTGTTGTAGGCAAGCATAGGCACACGACCTCTCAGTTACCCGTGTCCCACATTCTGAACTTGCCACAAGGACAAACGAGTGCCTGTTGAGGCCGTCTTGGACTTCATGGCAATTCAGGATAAATAACCTCATGATAGTGCGTATCTCAAATACAACTACAGAAAAAGGTATTGAATACACATGTCAAGACTAGCCCAGTGCCGGTCGTGATATCAACATGCGACAATCGCGATCTGGCTTGGACGGAAACGACGCAATAAAGCACTTTGCCGGCAACAAGTGCGGAACACCATTCTCATCCACATTGTCTGGCCCGTACCTGCTGTCCGGAGTCAAGGCAAGGTCATAATCTTTGAAAATATTCGCCGTAATGGTCAGCATTTCCACCCACGCCAGATTTCTTCCGATGCAGTTACGAGGACCATAGGAGAAGGTGAAGAGGTTTTTCTTGGCCGCGTCGCAGTTGACGAATCGATCGGGCCTGAAGCGCTGCGGCTCGTGCCAAAACTCGTCATCCATATTGACGGACCGCAGATTCACATAGAGCTCCGTGCCAGGTGGGATGTAATAGCCTCCGTGCAGCACGATGCCTCGTTTGTGCGACACTCTGGGTGTCAGACCGGCGGTCGTGGGCGACACGCGCAGTGATTCGTACACGCAGGCCTCAAAAAAGGGCAATTTTGTCAAGACGTCCTTGTGGGAAATCAAGTGACGGGGTCCAAAGGCGCTGCGGATCTCCTCGGTCACGCGCTTCAGCATGTCCGGGTGCAGAAGCAATAAATGAATAGTCCACATGATGGCGGACGATGTCGTCTCGCTGCCGGCGAGCATCATCATGATGCACTCGGCCTGGATCTCGGAGGGGGTCATTTTGATCTTGGAATCCGGGTCCTCGGCTTCGATAAAGGCTTGAAGCATGTCGGCCGGGGGCTCACCGCCGTTGGCGAGGTGCTCCTTGCGCATCTGGGCAGAAGTCTTGCTGTAGGCGGCAAGCTCACGGTACATGGTCTTCCATGGTCGCATGATGAGAGAGAAGGGCAACAGGGACAGCAGACCCAGCACGAGCGAGTAGTCGAGAATGTCCATGATGACCGCCGCCGACTCGCTGATGGAGGATGAGCCCTTGGATATGGAATCGGGATCTCTGCCAAAGGCCAGCGCGCTCATGATGTCAAAGGTGGCCAGCTGCGTGTCGTGGCGGTAGTTGACCTCGACTGGCTCGTCTTTGTCCGTCTTGGTCTCCATGATACGGCGATCCCACTTGGAGCGGATGGCCAGATAGCCATGGCGTTGAATGACGGGCTCCATACGGGTGAGATATCCATAGTTGAGAAAAGGTCCAATCTGCCGCCTGCGCATGCGAGCCAGGGCCGGGTCTCGCTGCGACACGATATTCTGGACTCTGCCATCGTTGAAAATGTCGAAGAACTCGGCCTTGCAGAAGTCGTCTGACCCCAGAACGGCACGAACATCGTCCGGGTGCGAAATGCAAACAGCATTGGGTTTGAAAACATATACGGGACCGTATCGGGCCGTGTCTTTCTGGGCCTGCAGCGCAACAGCACCGGAGAAGTTATTGATGTCGCCGCGATTGGAAGTGAGGCGTGCCAAAAAAGGGCCCGGTACTTTTCGCAACGGAGACAGTAGCAGAGCCCAGACCAGACGCCAGGCGAGCCAGGTGATGGCGAGGCCGGCCACCAAAGACGATGCCACGAGAAGGGGCTGCTCGTTGCAGGTACCCTGGAGCCTGAGTAGAAGCACCTCCAGGCCCATGGATGTACCAAGACGCGATGACATGTTGTGAGCTCAACTTGTCTCTCCCTCGTTTGCCTGTTCTGCCAGCTCTGAGATGATTAGATGGCGCAAAGATAGAAAAACAAAACGAGAGCGTCACAAGAAGAGAAGAAAGGAAGACGCCAAACTCAAAAGGGAAACTTGCCGTCTAAGAGGGTTCTCATAGGGCCAAATGGTATGGTGCTTTTATTTTCGTCTTGGACTTGTATGTTCACACACCCTACACACACCCCATTGCATGGGTGAGCAAAGTTCTTGTTCACATGCCGATAAATAATTTCGCCGCCGGGGTTCAAGTTTGGCCGGCATTCCCACAATATTACCTGTTCAATGTTGCCCCTCATCAGACGCACGGACCATGCGGGGTCCTTATCGGCCGCAGGTGCCCCTCTCTTAGCCGAAACCCCTGCTTGGCGGCAAGCTCTCGGCAGGGGAAGGAGAAGATGGTGGGGCCAAACGCTCAGCTTGGCCGAAAAGCGGCCATTCATATTCCGGCGATTCGATTTGATGCAAGCTGACTTGACTTGACCTCACCGGCCGAGTAAGCTTGATAATGCAGACTGACAATTCCGTCCTCGGGGCTAAAGATCCAAGCACAACAAACTAGTACTGTAGTGGCTATAATTATTTGACCTCATCTTTGTACCGCGAGACCGGCTAGCCTAATTAGGATAATTTAATGCAACACAATGCCATAAAAGGGTTAGGGTTCAGGGATACATATTTAGATGTATATGTGAAAGGGTCTGGTTGAATATTTGCGACTCTCTACTGTACAACTTGGCATCAACACAAAATCAGACTCTTCTGCCTACGCATTCCGTGCTGGTGCCCTGCCAACTACAATTCTGCAATCCCTCTCCGGGTACTTGGGCGTAGTAAAAAGGGTACTCCTCGTAGGCATGATGCGCGGACGTCCAAACTCATCGACATTATGCGGCCCGCACACGCTGTCCTCTGGCAGCGTCAAATCGTAGTCCTTGAGCAGATTGGCCAAAATGACCATCATTTCCACCCACGCCAAGTTCCTGCCGATGCAGTTACGATGCCCGTAGGAAAAGGCAAACACGTTCCGCTTAGCCTCGTCATTGTCGAGAAACCGCGTCGGGTCGTACGCGTACGGCCGGTCCCAGACGTCCTTGTGCACATGGGCCCCGTGCAGATTGATGGCGACCTCGGTACCGGCCGGGATGTAGTGGCCTTGGATGGTCACGCCGTTGACCGGGTTGACGCGCGGCATGAAGCCAGACGTGATGGGTGAGTAGCGCAGCGTCTCGTAGATGCAGGCCTCGAGAAAGGGGAGGAGTTTCCTGCACTCGTCGAACCCAACCATGTGCGATGCCGGGAACTGGCTTCGGACCTCGTCCACGGCGCGCTTCATGTACGCGGGATACAGCGTTAGGAGGTGAATCACCCACGATGTGACGAAGGATGTCGACTCGCTTCCGGCCAGCTGCATGGCGATGCTCTCCGTGCTGACCTCGTCGGGCGTCATGCGCACCTTTGTTTCCGCCTCTGGATCCTCGGCATCCATCAGCGCCTGTAGCAGATCAACTGGCTTTTCCTTGTCGTGGTGGCTGCTGCTGCTGCTGTTTAATTGCTGCCGTCTCTGGAGCACCGACTCCTTGCTGTACTGCACAAAACTCTCAAACATGTCCTTCTTCTTCTGAATCAGCTTGTCCAACGGCCAGAACAGCAGAAAAGGAAAGTTTTTCGTCATGCCGAGATAGAATCCAGTGGCTTCGATCCATCGGATAATAGTCGCGTCGTCCGTCTCCAGAGCCTTGAACTCGCGCCCAAACGCCAGCGCACCAATCGTGTCAAACGTGGCATACTGTGTGTCGTTGCGAAAGTTGACCGTGACCGAGGACGCGACGCCTCCAATCTTGGTGTTTTTCGCCTCAGCTTCGTCGAGGAGACGATCCCATTTCTGCTTGATGGCCATGATGCTATATTTGAGAATCAAGGGTTCCATGCGGCTGAGATAGGTGTGATTGAGATAAGGCCCGATTTGACGTCGACGCTGGCTGGCCTGTTTGGGGTCGCGATTGGTAAAGATGCTCGGCTGGTCGTGGATATCCAGCATCTGGTAGATGTCGGTTTTGCGAAACTCGTACGTCGTGAGCACCATCTTGATGTCCTTTGGGTTGCTGATGCTCACGCCATTGGGCTTGTTGACGTAAATATCGCCGTACGCCTCGTAGTCATCTCGCACCGATTTCGCTCCCTGCGCTACAACCCGCTTGACCACCGAGTAAGAACTGAAGATGCGCGATAGAGGAGACCCGGGGATTGTGCGCAGCGGTGACAGGAACAGCCGGTACGTGACTTTGCAAAGGAAGGTGACTATGGCCCAAAGGCATAGCAGCCGGATCCAGCCCAGCTCTGCTAGAGATGAGGGTAAGAAGAAGGTGCCAGACATTTTTTTTCTTTTTGTCTTTCTTTCCCTCTTTTTTTTTTCTAGGTTCCTTTTACGTTGATTGACAATGCCAACCAGTGAAGGAAAGAAACTTTCCTGGTCTTGTATGGTAGTCGAGTGTCAAGCTACAACGGCTGTCAACTGGCTGTGACGGAAATTTGTGTTTGCCGAATAGCTCACGGTAAAGTTGACCGAGTCCAATTTTGCAGCTTCCTTGTACCTCGTCTTCAAACTGGTTGGGGAAATTGAAAGAGTTAGATGGCAGCCACATAAGACGATGTGCATAAACTACCTGCGATGTGTCTCCCGTAGACTGACGCAACGGCAACAGCAACAGCCCATGACGAACAATATTATCTTGTGGAGACTTAACATTGTAGTCCGCTGCAAGCCACAATCAAGAAATTTTTAGCGCGTATCTACCTGCCTTGATTCATGCAGGGTCACATCAATTGATCCCTTGGTCCGGTAGTTCGTCGCTCAAGTGCGGCTGTTTGTTTCCAATGGTGGGGGTGGGGTGGATTTGGAGGTCGGGGTGATAAGGGGTGTGGTGTTATATTGACCACATGCAGTTTCAATGCAATGTTGCTAGTTGACATGTAAAGACAAAAAAACGATGGCGCATCGTCAAACGACAGCCACTGACAAGGCTGACAATAAGCAACGGTCCCGCTCGGCCGAATGATATCCCCGTCGCTTATTGTCCAACGGGCAGCCAGACTTGAGCATGTGGGGATCTTGGCCCTGGACTAGACTCCCGAGGCCGTTTGTCGTAGCTGGCATCGGCTTGACGGCACAACTCGTGCAGTACATATGTAGTGCCCGCCATGGCAGACAAAACAAGGCTAGACTAGCTGCATGTGCTCATTATATGGCATCGAGTCAATGTGTCGAGACGCTCCGCGGCTATCACCGGCGCTGGTGATGGCCGATTCTGGCAACGTACCAGCTCGATTCAGGGGTGTCACTACAACCATGGATTTGGACCATTCCATACTCAACAGAGAGACGTAGAAGCACAATCATGACGCTGGTTTTATATTGGGGCTGATAAGGGAAAGCAAACGCGCAGAACCCTGGTAACCATGCACAACTGAAAACTCTGGCAACATGTAGGCCAACGAAACCATGCCGCATCACATCTATTCGCTCATTGAAGCAATTCCCATGGCGGAGCCAGCCAACGGGCCCGAATCTTGAACATGGCAAAAAAAGTCGTCCTCCCCAGGACCGTTGATTCTACTGTTTCTGCAATTCGCAGCTCTCATCGCCATACAAATCAATGTACTTGCCCAGAGCGCCCAGGGTGAAGTGAAACTTGTAGTTGGGATATCTCATACCACCGGGACTGGCAAAGATGCCCTCGAGCGCCGTCTGCGTCCACTCACCCGTGTCCTTCTGCTGTCTGACTAGCCACGCTATGCCCTTCTTAATAGCGTCCCTGTTTGAGCACCGGGCGGCAACGAGTCCCGTGACGGCGTAGGCCGTACACGTCACCTGGCTGCCTGTTGCGTCTTGGACGTACCGCTTGAGCCTGATGCTCTCGAGGTCCTCGCCCCAGCCGCCGTCGGGATTCTGATGAGCGAGCAGGAACTCGCAGCCGCGCAGGCAAGCTGTGTGACTGCCCTCGCTCAGCCCGGCGCTCTCCAGGCCCTGCAGGGCAAACATGGTGGCATAGGTGAAGCAGATGCCCCAGGAGCCGATCCAGCCGCCCTCTGGGAACTGCGATGCGAGGAGATACTTGACGCAGCCGCGCATGCATCTCTGCACGTCGAGCGGTCTGTACTCGGCGTAGGCCTTGTGGACCGTCTGCAGACACATGAGCACCGAGGCGGAGCACTCTGGAAACAGGTTGTCCGTCATGACGTTTTCGTAAAGCTCCGTGATGTTGAGGCGCTCGAGGGCCTTGGGCGCCCGGATGGGCTCAAAGGCCGAGTAGCCGCCGCCCCTGTTCTGCATGCCCAGAATCAAGTCGACGGCTTCGAATATCCTGTCGTCCGAGATGAGGCGCGGCGCGGCACCAGATTGTTGCAGCTGGATGACGCAGCGGACCGTCTCGGCCGTCGTGTCCGACACGGCGTAGGCTTGGTCGCGCGTGCTAAAGGGCCATGAACCCTTGGTCGGCTGGCGATAGCTGTGCGCCGCCCCCATGGGGTTCTCTCGGATCTGCGAGGCTTCGATGAACTCGAGCGCCCTGGTCATGATATCGCGGTTCTCGGGCCGCTGGGCCAGACCGCTGTCGAGCGCCGCTTGCACCGTGAAGACGGTGTCCCAGAGAGAGGTGCCGTTGGTGCCGGACGCGGCCATGCCCTCTCTGCACATCCACATGGGGTCGATGATGCGCTGGCTCATGCCTGATATCCAGTGGCTGTCGCGCCCGTGGGCGTGGAACAGCACCAGCATGTTGGAGGCGAAGCTTACGGGAGCAATGCACAGGTAGTTTGTGTTGTGCACCTCGGCTTCGACCTGGAACAAGGCCTCGTTGAGCGCAATTCTCCGCATCAGCGGAATCTTGCAGTACTCGTAGGCGCACAGCGCCTTGGACAGCCCCTTTTGCAGCAGCGTCTCCGGAGCCAGGCGGTCGTGGGGGCTGACGTTGGCCCTTTGCGCAAACCAGTCTATGCTCTCGTAGGGAACGTCGTACAGCTCATGGCGCAGCTCCTCGGACAAGGCTGTGGGCTGCATCCTGAAGCGATGGCCAAAGAGATAGCTCATGCTCACGTAGACGTTGCGTACATGCACCCACCAGTTTCCGGGGTTGAGGGGCAGGAAACTCGGGGCCAGAAGCGGCTCTGGGATCAGCGGCAGCATGCCATCCCACTCGTAGACCCCGAGAGCGCACATCCAGAACTTGCCCCAGGTTGGGAGGGCTTTGGCAGTTCCCATACGGTGCAGTGCGGCACGGGCATTCTGAAGTACTGGGTGGTGTGGTGGCAGGCCGAGGATTCGAAGCATCACGTAGTTCATGGCCGTGCCGAAGACGGTCGATGGACTATTGATCCAAAGACCCCAGCCGCCTTCGTTGTTGGCAAAGTTTAAAACGTAGCGGATCATCTCGTGCTTCATGGGCTCCGGGAAGGGGATGCCAATGATGTATGAAGAGATGACGATGCCGCTGGTGACAAAGAGCGGTCCGTCATCATTGCATCCCCAATGTCCATCCTCTGTCTGCAGCCGCTTGAAGAATTCCCAGCCGTTATCTAGGGCCTCGCTTGGCCTCGCTGGCCTTGGCATCTTGGGAAGCGAGTAGTCCCGGCCCAGCCAGTACTGCTCAAGGAAGCTCTGCGGACGGCTACTTTGCTTGTTGTGCAAGGCATTGCCTTGGTGTGTATTGCTGTTGTCGTCTTGGTCATCCGCCACGTACTCCCACATGTGGCGACCCAGTTCAACATTGAGCCGCCACCTTGACAAGTCTGTTTTGTATTCTGCAGCGGCCTTGGTGTCTCTGTGGTCGGACAACCCGACAACACTGTTGCTGGGCGTCGTCGACGGCATAGTTGAGGCAGATGTGGGGGATGTGTTTTTGTTGTTGTTGTTTCAAGGGATGTCTGTTCCTCTCAAGTTTATTGAGTATTGCGAAAATAAGTGACAATGTTGACTCCCAACAAGACTGAGAAAATCAGGCCTCGGATACGCCTTTGCAACGAAACCAGTACGTTATCCAGCCTCCAAGGGAAGCATGCGGCTGAATAAAAGAGGACGAGTGTAAAAAGGGAATGGGCGAGAAAATTGGGCATATAACATGTCATGGCGTGAATCGTGGGCTCCGGGCCTTGTCTCTGTCGTTGAGCAACACGGACTGCAATAGAACAAATACTCCATCCCGCCCTTGTCGCCTATCCATTCCGTTGGCACCGTTTATCTCGGTCTTCAAATTGGCGTCCTTGAGCACCGGGCAATGAGAAAGGCCACGACCACACCAAAAATGTGTGCTACGTGCACGCCCACGACGAGCTTCCCAATGCAGACACTGGGGGCTTTTGCGTCGGCGGCCCCACTCTTGCATCTGGGCCGGCTCCTGGCCCCGGGTCGAACCGCCCCACCTTCCCCACACGTATGCGGTCAGCGTAGCATTCATCTCGAGCATGCTAACATTGAAGCTGCATGTGGTTTCTAACTTTGCCGCTGGACTAACGAAAAGTGGACATCTGGACATCTGGACGTCACCTCGGATGGTGCATGCTGATTACGCCTTGCACGGGGAAATACAACAACACCAGACCAGGCTTTGCCCCACGATAAGGAACGAGTTGCCGGCTTGGACATCAAGTGATGGTGGCTGGGGCTACCAAGCACTTGACAGTATATCGGAGCCATTGAACCAGACCCTTGTAGACACCAGGCCTTCTGGTCACCCCGACACATGTGCAGTCTGTTAGCATTGACTTGCTTGACTTGACCTTTGAAGTATTGCGTCCTCTGTTTGGCCTTCTGGAGCTTCTTTGTCTTCTGTCAATCTTTGAGTCTGGGTCTTTTTGCTCTAGAACCACTGTTGACCACTTCCACTGTCGCACACGATCTAATGACTGCATCCATGTCCTCATCGCCTCAAGTCGCTGTAGTCACTGGCGCCGCCCAGGGCGTCGGCCTCGCCGTGGCCAAGCTCCTCGCGGCGCGCAATTACCAAGTTGTCCTGAGCGACATTGACGTCGCCGCGGGCGAGCAGGCCGTCGTCGACATCAACGCCTCGCTCGGCAAGCAAGTCGCCCACTTCATCCCCTGCGATCTCGCCAAAACCGACGACATCGACCGCCTCTTCCAGCTCACCACGGACAAGTTCTCGGGCTTCTCTGTCCTCGTCAACAACGCGGGCTTCCTGCGCGCGCCGTTTCTGGCCATCGACGCCCAGCAAATCAGCGACACCATCGCCATCAACCTGACGGCCACCGTCTACGCGACGCACCAGGCCATCCGCTTCTGGGAGAGCCACGCAGACACCATCCAGGACGCCAACGTCGTCAACATTACTTCTTCGTCGTCTTTCAAGACGTATGCAAGCATCG